CTCGTGACAAAAAAAAAAAAAAAAAAAAAAAAAAAAAATATTGAGCCTGACTTCTCTCAAGTGACAGTTGAGGTTCTACATAAGCTGATGGTAGCCCTCCTCTCATGTGATCTGGCCACACACTTGGTTATTCTGTCTTCTAGAAACACATTTGCATCCCAGCCTCTGTGCCTTGCTTAGCCCTTGCTTCCCTACTCTCATAGGCCTTCCTCTCAACTTCCTTGTCCGGTAAGGCTCATGTCACTACTTTACACGGTCCTGCAGTAACTCTGCCAGCTTCCCGTTACTAGTGTTTTCTCTTTTGAGCTCAGAACACCACAGAGCACCTCCACATTGTGTGACAGACACTCCTGGACTTGGGAGCTGTGTGTGGATGGAAAGCACTTCTTTTCCTGTGTTAGCATAGATTTCACAGTGCTCTTTAGGTTTTGTTGTTGTTGATAATGATGTTATTTATTTGTTTTTAACTACAATACATTAAAGGAATTTCTCAGTGGAAACTTCAAGGTGACTTTTCATGAATTCCTCAAACCATACAACAATTAAGTATGCCTGTAAAGAATTCTTTTCTAGACTCATTTTTCCCATTAGTGTTCAAAAAAGATATAAGATAGAAGTACTTTGGAAACTATTGCCAAAGATTTGGAACTGACTTAGCATCGAAGCCTTTTGCCTAGAAGGTACTAAATCAGAGCAGAAATATTAAAATGTTCCAAAAGGAAAGAATAGCTCCTGGAACAGAAACACTTGCCTATAACAACTAAAATCATCAGTTGTTTCTAAGAAAGTGTTAGTCCAAAGTAGTTGCAGGTAATAAAAGAACCAGGCAGAACTAGGTGAAGCACAAACCCTTTAGACTTCACTAGCACACCAGAGTTCTGCTACACTCTACCCAGAGTGTAGCCTACCCATTCCCAGTCACAAGCATTTAGTGAGTTTAAAGTGCATTCTGTGTATCAGGCGCTATGATACTCACAAGATGGGAGTCCTGCCACAGATTGAAAGAGCTTCTGAGAGACCTGTATCCCCATCCTAAGGAGAGGGGTTCATTCATTACCAGTCTTGAATAGCTACCACTAAACATAAAAACTGAGCAAATTCTCATGGAATATGGATTGTTTTGTGGGGTGTTTGTTTGTTTGTTTGTTTTTCTAGTTATCATAAGGCTAAAGGGTTCTGCCTAGTTAGTGAAACTGGAATTCTTTTGCTGGTCAGTAACTAAGTTATCTGTGAGTTTCTGTTGTTGGTCTGGGTCCCATCTATTGAGTTCAGCTTTAGAGCCAGAGTGAGAAGTTACCACAGCAGCACCCCAGCTGTGGTTTGCACTCAGTCATCTGCGGGATCTGGGATTGATCTTGACTTTGTACAACTGGGTGGAAATTGCTGTGTGATTTAGCAAGACCATTATCCACATAAAGCCAGAAAAGAACTTGATTCTGGAGCCTGAGGCTTTTTGTCAGGTTGATAGCAGAGGCTATGACACAAATCCATCATGAAATACATTTAGTGTCTCCATTATAATTTAGTTTCAGAGAAAATGGGACACTCAAAAATGTTGTTAGAGACTATGATAGCCTCGCCTCTCCAAAAATATTACACATACCCTGGTGTGAAACTTTCCCAGTGTTTGAGAAATGATGACTTCAGAGATGTTCTGGTGTTTTTTTAAAATGATATTTACAAGAAATTTGTCTAGCCCTTGTATTTGTCCTTGAACCTACTCTCCCTGTCTTGAGTTTTGTGTGCTGGTTCATATCCTCCCTGAATATGACTACCTGAATATAAATATGAATACCAACTCATAAAGACTTGTTCCTAGAACTGCTTAGAACAAATGTGAGCTATTTGAAGACAAAGAAGACTTCTCAGCCCATTATGGACACAGAAGAGGAGTCTGCTGAAAAAGCTCAATTTCTTAAGAGCAGTGGAACCTCCATCTTAAGTGTTGACAGCTTAGAAGCCAATGGTGAGAAGGGGATGTGAGTCGGGAAGTCACAGCTACTGTTCTTGAGAGACTTTTGTAGCAGTGGACCCAGCTACTGCACAGCTTCCATCGCAGATCATACAGACAGATAGTGTATCTCCCCAGAGAATCAGAATCGCAATTCAGAGACAACATCCACCTTCCAGCCTTTTGTAGATCTGCTTGATGGGTGGGGGTTCCTACACAACATCAACAGAAGCATTGCTTAATTTTATCAAAGTTGTACATGTTAACAAAATATGTTTATTTATTTCTATGTAGAATTAGTCCTTTCTGAGCTCCATCATAGTACCCTGGGGTTGGGCTTGGACACACTAGAAGAACAAGAAGAAAAAGAGCAGTTCTTTGCCAGACTTGAAAAAGGCTTGACATCTTCTATTGATTATTCCAAATTAAATCAAGAACTGGATTCTGATGACTCCACACAATTCAGAGCTTTACATAGGTAAGTACAATAAAAAACATTATTTTTTTTTTACTTTTCAATACTTCTATGTGTGTATGAATCCATGTAGATAAACATGTAACAGATCCCATCCATTTTTTTTTTTTTTAAAGAAGCAAAGACAAGTTTGGTTTGTGTCTTACCTTTGTGCATGGTGACTGTTGGTTATCAGAGACCTCATTTATCTAGAAATTCCAGTTGACTGAGCTGGCCACTCTCTAGAGCAGAGTAGACCATTGCCATTCTCTAGTCTTTTTTAAGGTCTTAAATTTCTTTAATTTAGTTATCCAAATAGCTGTTTTTCTTCTCATAAATGAAAATCAGGTTGTGTTCTTGTCTAGGATCTTAAGAACACAAAAGTAGAATGGAAGAGTTGGGAGAATCATGGCATATGGATAACTAGAGCCGAGTCTCAGCAGATGAAGTAGTACCTGGACTTTCATGGGCTGTGGGGTTCTGAGGCTATAGTGTACTTCCAGCATTGTAGATAGTGATGGTTAACAAGAGTCTTCAGTCAGAAACAATGGATTTTATTTCTCACAACTATACCAATACCTGGCTTAAGGCCCTATTCTAGTTACTTTTCTATTGCTATGATGAAAAACCACGACCAAGGTAACTTATAAAAGCAAGAGTTTACATGGGCTTAATATTTCAGAGGTTAGAGTCCATGATGGTGGAGTAAAGGCCTGGCAACAGGCAGCAGGATACCTAAAAGCTCACATCTAGATCTACAGGTATCAGGCAGGGAAAGCTAACTGTAAATGCTGGGATTTTGAAACCTTAATGACCACCCTACTTACACTTTTTCAACTTTTCAAACTTATCTTTTCCAACATGGCCACATGTTTTCTGATATTTCCCAAGCAGTTCCACCAACTGAGGAACAGGTGTTCAAATATCTGAACCTAGAGGGACCATTATCATCCAAACCACTGCAGGCCCCTCCCTTTTCAGTTTCCATTAAGAGTTACATTGCTTATTGACATATAAATGCTAATCTCATTTTGTGGGGTTTTGTTGTTGTTTTGGCTTTCCTGTAAAGTTTGCTCAATCCTCCTCATAGCTTATAATTCCTAATCTCTAGTGAAGAAGAGGTGCCTGGCTCACGGGATGCTGTGTGTTCATATTAAAGCACATACATAGAAAATTGTGTTTGTAGCTAAGAAAAATGGCATTTCTTTTGACTGTTTGTTCAGCCTCAAGTTAGTTTGGGGCTTTAAGGATCTTTTGTTTTCAAAACATTTTCCTTCTATCACCCTAATTTTTAGATTTGGTAAAAATTTGGTAGAACAATGGCACTTGAGAAAACATAATTTTAGGAAATTTGAAGCAAATAATGCAGCATAAATTGCCTGGATATACATTAACCTGTGGTGTTGCATGTTAAATGTTTTTCCAGCTATCTGGCTAACACAGAACCAGCTGAAGATGGACATGAGAGTGAGTCAGAGCATGAGGGACTGCCAGGTAACCTTACTGAAAAGATAATGCAGCGTACAGTACAGCCATTGATAAGAACAGTCCTGAAAAGGTGAAACCACATTGTCTTAGAAAGTGCTTCGAGCAGCAGAGTGTACAGTGCAGAGTGTACGGTGTGGTATTATCTCAGGAACTAAGGAATTACTAAGGGGAACTGCTGCCTCACATGTCGAAGCTAGTGGGAAAGTTTTGTGTGAAGATGGTGGGGAATCCAAAGGCAAAACTAAGATCTCCAGTGTGTGGTCCAGGAAACAGTACTTTCTCTCTTCTTTGATTTCATTTTCTTCTTTAAAAAATGTCTGTTCTGGTAGACAGTCAGTCCTGCAACTTGATCAGCCTGAGGCACTTCTCTTTCACTTAGGGGTGTCTGGAACAGCCACTGTGGGTATCACTCGTCTGCTATCCTGGGGCATTCCCTCCTGAGGTTTCTTGTAATATTCCACGGTGATCACTGAGGGCTTTCCACTCACAGGGGCTGGGGATAAAAATTCTCCCTGCCTGTGTCACCAGAGGGGACTGTCCAAGCTATAGTTACCCAGTTCTCAACACAACCTTCACATTAAGGGTTTAGTATTTACTAATAACTCAGAAGGACCCTCATCCCCAGGGACCCATGCAGATTTCTTCTGGAGCTCTTTCTGCCTGTATGTGCCCATACCTCATTACTGCCCCGCAACTTCTGCATATCTTGGCCTCTCAGAACTCATTGAAACTGACGCACCTTCCCCCATACTCCAAAAATGTATTCACCTTCAGTGATTATGGAGCTCATATCTCATTTGTTTACATTTCTTTGGAATTACCTTTTTCCCTGCCAGTTATTGGGAGTCTAAAAACAATTACTTTCTATATTTTGTGCGGAGTTCAGCTCCAACAGGCCACAGACACGGGAGAGGAGATGTGGAGCTCTCGGCGATATAAACACAGAGAAGACTTCTCTGAGGAGGGAAACTTAATGCTTTTCTTATCTTCACTTTCTCCTAACTCTTTTATACTATCTAAGACAAAAATCTCTATGCAAGAAAGAAGTCACCTCACAACTGCAAGTTACAGATTTTCCAAAAACAAATTAAAATCTTTACATAGGAGGAAACCACATTATGGTCACAAGTTACATATTTCTCTTAGAAGCCCATGTGTAGTTACACATTTTTCTATGTGTTCATTTTCCCACTATAATACCTTCACTTCAAAACAATGATTGTTTTATTATTGTTGATTAACACAGTTTTAAGCAAGGCAAGTGTATTTCAGCCAGTTCCTTTGTACCTTTGTGTGTGGTTTCAGGGTAGCCAATTTCGGTCCTATTTCTACAATACAAAACTTACTCAAGTGGTCTAGCTAACAATCTATTTTTCTTTTTTTCCTTACACACAGTGGGGTCATTTAATTTCCTTTCACAACTTTGTTTTTGTAAGGTGCACACCAAAACCTGAGATTAATTCTGTAAGCTACATGACCATGGAACTCAGACCTAACCTTGGGTGTAGGGACATAATTAATTACCTTCTTTTGTTATCAGCCTATTTTTCCACAGGCAGAATTCATGTGTCTATAATGCATGAAACTAACTTGTTTTCATTTTCCAGCCTCAGCACATCTCACATCTCTAAGTGTTATTGCTCTATAAATATCATGTTCGTTATGATTTGCGTGTAAACTGCCCAGTGAAGAGTGGGAATTTTCCCATGAAACAATCACACTAGACTAGATACAGTGGGATTCTTTCACATAATAATCACACCATGCCAAATACAGTAAGAACACGATAGCAGCAAGCAGGAGAAGGCAAAGTAGAAGCAAGGCATTCTGGAGACCGCTCCCCAGGTCTTTGCCTCTTGTGGGTGGGGGGTGTCTTCATCTAGCTGTGCTAACTAGTGAGCTATACTCCAAAAATACCATTGCTGACTGCAGCTCCTCTGGCATTGCACTGCCAATTTTGTCTGATTGTTCACAATGGAATTTAAATTCAGTTCCTTCAATTCTGGCATGACAGAGGAGAATTTTCAGATTGCATTGTACTCAGAGTTTACAGATAAATTTGCCAATAAAGGATGGCAAATGAGCATTTAGACTTTAATTGTCTATGGTTTACTTTATCTGAATTTTAATGAACACATTCTTGTTTTGAAAATTATAATTTTGAAGTTAAGCATGGAGGATATTTTGAATGTGTAATATACAACAGGTCAGCACTCTCAGTGTAGCTGTGTTGGCGACACTGGGTACTGACCCAGATGGTTCTCAGAAATGACCACCTCTTTGGTTTGCCTCTTCATTTTTATGTCAGCTTAATTCACCTTGATATTTCTGAAATCTCTGTCATGTTGTTTTCCTTCCCTGTGCTGTTTCCTTTCATTTCTGTGTCACTTACTAGTGACATTTCCTTCTTATTTCACACCAACTCTATTCATGACAGATTCCTAGGAAAAAGCCTGGTCATTTATATGTTATATGGTAATATTTTCCTATAATTTGTTCAGTTACTAAATGAAAACATTAAAGTGTAGTTTGGAATAATGTACATTAGCAATTTTCCCAATTTAGAAGGAGGGGCTGAGTGAGTACTTTGCTTGGCATGTCCAGGTTCATTTCCGTACTGCAAAGAGAAAAAAGAAATAAAAAAAGTGATTTGTGGCTTCTTTAACTTTTAATGTAGATTAAGCAAAACTAGCTATAATAGTGCCAATCAGTACTATTACACATCATATTTGGCCCTTAGATTGTCCATGTTATATATGAAGTACCCCTTAAATACTGTTTAGTTCTCAGATCTCAGTGTTCATTGAAATAAGTGCTGTTGCCATCTCTACAGGGGAGAAAAGTAAGACCAGGGGTTTTGTGATGGACCATCATTCTGAAGCTGGAAGTAGAGGGGTAAAGATCTAGGCCTCTGTTCCAGGTCATACTGTTAAGCACTACTTCTACATACTATCTCTGTATACCCACACTGCACCCCTTTGCATTCTGAAGAAGGGTTCCTCTCCTTTAGCCCACTGATCTCAGTCAGTCTCTTGATTGAAAAATAATAAACACCTTAAAAATTGATGAAAGAGATGTTGACTGTATCACTCCTGCCCCACCTGCCCCATGAGTAGACTGATGAGATCAGTTAACTGGAAGATGCCTTTTTCTCCCCCTGCAAAGACACTAAGATATATAGAGTCTAGGAGCTTCACACCAAGAATTGTCCAGGAATGAAGAACAGCAGAAGTCATATAGGGTCAGTTTTTATGTAAGGGACATGTCAAAGTATGGAAAATAAAATAAACCCGAGATGGTCTCAAGGAGGAGGGGGAGGGAGAGGAGACGGGAGAAGAAAGAAGCAGTAGCAGCTAAGGGAAGGGAAGGGAAGGGAAGGGAAGGGAAAAGATCTGAGAAGTACCATCATGCTAATACCTAAGTGGGTTGTTCACAAACATCTTCTTTCTAAGCCAGTACTCCTTTCTTGATATTTCACTTTGACAATGTGATCCTTCTGTTTCTAACAATAACTTCCTTCAGAAACATACAGTGATGATTTTGAAGATGCAGAGGATGTCGATGCGCCTTTGATTACTGAAAAGGAAGAGACCCATCCCGCAGAAAACTCTGAGTCAGGAAGAGCGCATGTACCCGCACAGGTATATATCCGTTGTCCTTCAACTGCTTCTGGCCACTTCACTAACTCGCCATGTGAAAACTTAAGGTACAGAGTTCTCCATAGCCCTGCTCATTGTTAACGCAAAGTCTCAGGGTGTTCGTGGAAATTAAACAGTCATCATAGTTGATGCTTCTATGTAGGATGGCCTTTGCTGTATAATTTCCTTAAGTAAGCATTAGCAATTGAATACAATTAAATGTTGTTGCTACTTTTCAGTTGGGCTATGGACTGGCATCATTGTAAGACTTGACCTTGTGGAAGCAGTAAATAGCAGGATTGCTAAGAGTAGCAGAGTTTGTATCTGGAACTCATGTGCTTACGATAAGGAATCACACTGCTCCGTTCACATCCAGTCTGCTGCTCTGTAATCCTGTCATCCCTCAGTTCTTCCCAGTGTGTACTTAGGGCTACCATTAAATAATACCAATACCTGTGTACTACTGTCATTTAAGCTATGTAATAGTAGTTAATGGGATCATTACTATTTATTATTTTGGTCATGAGCTGGACAGTTTTGAGGGGGGACTGTTAGGACAAGATGTTTAAAGCTTATATAAAACCATAGTTTCTCTAAATAGAAGCAATTTGAGGTTATACATAAATGCTTTGTTTTTTTTAAATTATTTAATACATTTCCTTGAGTACACACACACACACACACACACACACACACACACACACACACACACATATATAAATATATATATGTTACTCAGACTGCAAGAAGCAACTTAATTTTTAAATTAATGCAAAAATTAATGTGTCCTCATGACATCTTTAGAAACTCATGGTATTTATGTTTGAAATTTGGTGATCCCAATATTTAATGAAAATTAATAAAGAGCATGATATTACTGTTCATCAAGAAGGTGTGCTCTGCATAATAATGTGGAGCTCTCCCAGAAGAGCTGAGTAAGAATCAAAATAATAAAAAACTAAACTTGTTACTGTAGGAGACCCTGCACTTGGCCTAGCCAAGAAGGGAGTCAAGGATGGTGCTCCTTAAAACCTTAGTATTGAAGACCTGCATCTCTCCTGTCATTGGTTGCATGCCTGTCTGTACTGTAGTTATATCCTTCAAATGGTAGAGAAAATGTGGAATTGGATGTATATTTGGTAATTATTTTTTGAACAATTAATTGATTGATAATGTTATAATTGTAGACTATGTAATTGTGTCACATAGCCCTGTTACTTTGATATTTAAAAAAAAAAAGACTGAATTTTTAAAAAGAGACAGCACAGTAGATGAGCTGGTGGCCTCTAGGTACTTTAGGCAAAGCTTCTTAAGGCCTAAAATAGTTTTGGTAATTGCCCAGGTTTAGAAGAGACAGGTACAAGTTCTGCACAGCTGGGGCTCAGACAAGTGTAGGTGAAGGAACCTAGAAAACATGGCTCCTGATCTTCTCGTAGCTCCTGCTTCTCAGAACTGTGGTTATTTTATATAATTTTGCTTTCAAAACATGTAATTTTTTCTTTTAACTTAGGAGGAAGAGAAAACTGGCATGCTGGCTAATGGTAAATATTAATTGGCAAGTAATTTAGACTGTTTAAAAATCTTATCTAAATAATTTTGAATAAAATGTCTTTATTTTGAATGTCTCTCTAAGGAATTAAAATTCAGAACTTTGCCCAGTCATTTGTCCTTTATGCCTATCTTGACCCCATCCTGTTACATTTGAAATATTTCCTCTTCCATTTTTCTGAGGCATTTTACCTTCTAAATAAATGTATAGGTACATATACACATTTATGTTTGCCTGTTACCTTGTACGTACATTAAAATCATGCATGTGGTAACGCACATCTGATTGTACACTAACAACACTCATATGTAAATGTTTACCTCTTAGCATTGCTTGTGCCTAATTTTATTGGTCCAGAGTCACACAGTTTCCTACACTCCTTCTGTGCTGTTCATGTTCCTGCAGTTGTGCTGCTCGATTCTTTAGACTCTGTTGAGGATGTCAACCTGGCTGATCAAAGTAAAGCAACCCCTGAAGCAAAGGCCCTCCCCGAAGTGACTGGTGGTGAACTAACAGGGACAGGTAATGTATTTGAAAACTTGACTTTTCTCTAACTATAGAATGCTCTGTGGCTAACTGGCTTCATTTGTAGAAAAAAAAAATCCATGAAATAACTATTAAAGACATTTAATCTCATAGGTTGAATAGGCTGTCAATACAAGGGGAGCATTGTAGGTGAGGATTAAGTAGTTGTGCCTATCCACAGTTTTCTGTTCAGTTCACCATGTGTAGGTGAAATGGACATGGGTCTCTGCTGTGTTTAACGTAGCTCCCTCCTTAGGTAGAGGCTAGATCACACCCTTAATTCTGAACTATTTTCCTTAGAGCTTGTAACAATTTTATGATAATGCCCTTTCAAACTGTAAAGCAATAGAACCATCATTGCCAATTGGATCTTCCAAGAAATAAGGATTGTGCCAGGCAGCATATTTTGTTTTGATGTAGAATATATTATATTCTTGATTTCCCACATGGATAATTGCCAATAGGAACATCCTTAACTGTCTTGCTTTGGGAGTTCAGAGTACCCATTAATATTGGTCAGGTAAACTGAGACACTTGGATAAAAACAGTAGAAATCACAAACCCACTCTAAGCATCTTGTATTTATTTATACTAATTGTTTTCTTGTTGCAGAAAAGCTCCCGTGTCTTGGTGTGTAGATCATTGCACTTTTTCTTTACTTATTTTTGTATTGTGTGTATGTGTATATGATGTGGATCTCCTGGGGCATGAATGACATGGCACACATGTTGTCATAGTTCAACTTTCAGAAGTTCAACCTCTTCCACTGTAGGTTCTGAGGATCAAACTCAGATATTAATGCCTGTATAACAAAGCTTTCACCCACTGAGCCATCTCATTGGTGCCTGGCTTGATGAATTTTTAAACACCAAACATGCCCATGTAATCAGCATCTAAATCAAAAAGGAAGGCTTAAACTACATTATCTTGTTCAACATCATCCAAGGATCATTACTGTCTAGACTTGTTTCATGTAGTTTTCCTCTTCAAATGGAAAATAAAAAATTTCTGGGTGTGGTGCTACATGCTTGTAATCCCAGCATTCAATAGGCTGGAGGATGGCAAATTTAAGGTCAACCTGGGCTATATAACAAGACCCCATCTTTGAGCTGGCAAATAAGGGTATTTGCTGCCAAAGGGTATTTGCTGCTAACTACCTGAGTTCAATCCCCAGACCCACACGATAGAAAGGGGAGTGGGAACGACACAAGCAGATTGTCCTCTGACCTCACATGCACCATGGCATGTACACATACACACAAATAGTAATTTTTTTTTTAATTTTAAAAAGACCAGCTCTCAAAACAATAGAAAAAAATACTTCAAAGATAGACATTTCATCAAGACATAGTTCTGGTACACACACCCGAGTGTCTACCATGATGACATGTTTGCAGAGCACATCTCATAGTCTTACCTCCATGCTAGCACAGTCTGTCTCCTTGAAATTTTTGGTAAGCAGTCATGAACACTTTTAACAGATGAGGGTAGAACTACAGCTTTTCTGGTCCAGCATACTCTAGGTTTGTGTTGGGTGGGGGGGGGCATCATCAGAAGAGTGTTAAGATGTTCATGGAACAAGTGAAGAAGGCAGACGTTATTACATGATTTCTGCAGAGTACTGCAGAATTATGGAAGTGGCTCACTTGATTGTGCAAATTGGCCTTTATTACAATTTTAAGTTTCAAAGCAGAATTTCAACCAAACATCTGTGGGATTTACGATTGTCTCTGGAACACTGATGTTATAAAGCATTAGGAAAACCACTGCCATGGGCTATAAAAAAAAAAAAAAAAAAAAAAAAAAAAAAAAAAAAAAAAAAACTCAGAAACCAAAAGTACATTACTCAAAGTAATAATACATCTGTCATTTCCTGTTTAAATGTTTTTTATTCTAAAAGTGATTCTTTTAGTCGTTTACTGGCCGTGCAGTGTGACTTTGTTACATAGACTTGTGTTCATGTTCCCAGCTCTGCTTATGTGCTCTGTGACAACTAATGACTTTATCCTATTTCCTCGTCTTTAAAATGAGGCCTTGTAAGGGTCAGCTAATGAGGATACAGCATAGTGCATTGTTAAAAATGGGAGATCATGGCTCAGTGAGATGGCCCAGAGGTAAAAGTTCTTGCTGTGCAAACTTGAAAACCTGGGTTCGATCCTCAGAATCCATGTAAATGTGAAAGGAGGTAACTGACTCCATAGAGTTGTCCTTTGACCTCTATATACAAGCTGTGGCATACACCTGACACAAATACACACACATACACACACACACACACACACACACACACACAATAATACATAAATTACTTTTAAATTAAAAGTAATTCAAAGGGATCTTTTATTAGCATCATGAAATTCTTTGTGCTAGGCTGTATGTTAGTAAATATGAAAGTGAGGTTTCCCTAATATAAGGCTGGATTGTTTTCACTCATTTCATTCACACCAAACAGAGTCACATTATTGTGTCATGGATGCATAGCTGGAATAGTTATCCTGTGAGGTGAGGCCTTTTCTCTGAAAGTGACAGTTGATGACTTTCTATAGTTGAAAGCATAGGAAGCTTTGGACTTGTATGAAGTAACTACATGGAATCCTTGCCTTTTCAGTGTAAGGCAGAGAACTAAGCCTTCTGACTTACATAACATTCATGAAGAAAGGTCATTTGCATGATTGTGGGATGGCTTTTAATGTGCTTTGAATTGACAAAGGACCTTTCCCTGTTCCATTTCCAACAGCTTTACTTGGTATCTCTAGTTCCTAACATTTAGTCATTTCATTTTCCACACATGTAGTTCTTCGCTGATCTAAGACAGTGGTTCTCAACCTTCCCAATGCTGTGACCCTTTAACATAGCTCCTCATGTCGTGGTGACCCCCATCCATAAAATTATTTTGTTGCCACTTCATAACTCTAATTTTGCTACTGTTGTTAATTGTAATGTAAATATCTGATATGCAGGATATTCCATATATGACCCCTGTGAACAGGTGGTTCGACCCTAGAGGGGTCTTAAAGCAGAGGTTGAGAACCACTGCTCCCCTTCTGGCAGGTTACACATACTAAACTGGGCATATATGTTGAGTGCTGCTGGGCCATCCTCTCAGTGTTCAGGTTATTCTGTAGTGTATTCAGCAGCTCACTCAGTAACCTCCTGTTTTTATAGAAAAAAAGGAAGTGCTTTATACCCTTTCTTTTTTTTATAACAATTATTTCCTGAGTTGTTCCCTAGTGGGTGTGACTGTAGGGGGGGTGGGGGCAGCTTCTCTGCTACATAAAAGACAGCGGAACAGACCTTTCCCTCCGATCATCTTCAAAGAACCCTGCTCTTTGACTGTAGGAGGAGACTCTGCTCTAGTAGTGTCCTCCACTTGTAGACTTTTGTCTCTTTAAGATGTTTATTCTTTACTATATGTGTTCCAAATAGTCTTGGTGACCTGGAGCGTTAGAAAGAAGCCTCGCTGTAGGGCATCACTACAGATACCTCCATGACACTCATCTCCTCCTGCATTTTGAAGCATTTATCTAATTATTTTTTTTAATCAATAAAAGCCTGGGAGTCAACTATCAGGGTAAAAACCTGATTGATCAGAGAAGCAGTGGAGAAGCGACCAGTGACTTCCCTCCATCCAACCCTCTCCCTTCTTCTCTCTCTCTCCCTCTCCTTAATCCAATAATCAGAGAATCTTTCTAAGCCCCTCTCTACTACTTCCTGTATCTATCTGTCCTGGCTCCTCCAAAACCTCTATGACTAATTTTGATCAGATAGTAGCTAGCTCCACCTTTTGATTTAAGGTAAACTTCATTGGCAGTCTCTGGAGTGTGAGAGTGCAATCAAAATATCCCATAACAACATTGAGTATGGGAAAAAAATCCCTTACAAGCTGTGCTCTGTATAGTTTCTGTTGTGTATAGAACATGAGGTTATATAAGCCATTGAGGGGGAGTTGTTTGATTTTTGTTTGGTTTGTGGTTTTTTATTTTGTTTTGTTTTGGGACAGGGTTTCTCTGTGTGTTGCTTTGGATGTCCTGGAACTCACTCTGTAGGCCAGACTGGCCTAGAAATCACAGAGATCCACCTGCCTCTGCCTCCCAAGTACCAGAATTAAAGGTGTGTGCCACCAACACCTGGCTAAGCTTTTTGTGTGGGTGTTTGTGAACCGTTTTATTTTAAGTGTTAATCATAGATGTCAAAAGAGGAGACTGACCACTCTATATTTTTCCCATTCTGTGGCTTATTCTTTAGTTTTGAAAATCCATAGTTAAAACTGTAAAATATTAAGAAAATGTTCATAAAAGTATTTGGTCATTATTCTCATTAGTTTTCCCCAAATAGTCAGCTGTTGAGAGGAAGGTATTAGGGCAGGAAGAATAAGAGGTAACATCAAGCTTTCTGTTCTGGGTGACTGAGTAAATAAATAATGGTACCATTAGCTAAGAATAGGAAATACTGGTGAGGAATATAACGAATTTAGTTGGAAGTGTATTGTCTGATTGACTTTACAAGACAATGCAGATGTCTTTTAGAGAGTTTGTGTTCAGAAAAGTGATGACACAAATGTAGATTTGAAAATACTGAAGCAGGCCTATAGATAAGATTAAGGGGCTAGATGAAATTAGCTGGGGGTACATATACAGTTTGGCTTGTTAGCATGCTTGTTTGATATTCACAAGGCCCTGAGTTCAGTCTCCAGTACTTTGTAAGACAAGTGTGATGGTTCATTCCTTTAATTCTAACACTTGATCAGAAGTTCAGAGTCATCTTCAGCTGTATAACAAGCTCAAGGCCAGCCTGGACTACATGAGACCCTTTCTCCAAAAAGAAAGGGAAGAGTCAGAGAGATGGCTTAGTGGGCAAAGGTACTTTGCCATGCAAGCCTGGTGACTCAATCTGTAGAACCAACATAGGTAGACAGAACCAACTCCAGTGTTATCCTTTAACTTCCACTGTATAATTTGTATTTGTATGTGCACACCATATACATCCAATAATAGTTATAATGATAATATTTTAAAACAAAGATGGAGGGGAGGAGAAAGAGTAGAATTGGATTTATTTTATTACTATTATTATTATTGGGTTTTTTTGTTTTGTTTTTTGAGACAGGGTTTCTCTGTAGCTTTGGAACCTGTCCTGAAACTCACTCTGTAGATCAGGCTGGCCTTGAACTCAAAGAGATCGCTTGCCTCTGCCTCCCAAGTGCTGGAAATAAAGGCATGCACCACCAAACAGTATTCAGAGGGTTTTAAAAGAGTACTGGAGGTAAACCACTTGATGGGCCATTGATAAAAAATGAAAAAGCACTGACTAGAGTGGCAGGAATTACAAGGAGAAGAAAAGGTATAAAAGAAACAATGACCAGGTAGAGGATAATGTCAGATGTCTCACAAGCTCAGAAGGACACATGACTGGGCTTGGCCATCAAGAAACAACTTTCAGTCACAGCAGCTTCAACAAGATGGTAGAACACTTGGTGCTTTGCAAAGTCGGAGGAGCATGCTTGTCATAGAACCATTACAGACTGACATTACCACATAGCAGAGTGAGAATGGGTGTGGTAAGGCAAGGACAGCATCCTTGTATCCATTTAGGAAGTGTGAGAACAGTTTTACCCAGCACCGAGAGGCTGGTTAAAGACCATGAGGAGGCAGTGCCTGGTAAAATCAGAGTTGACAGTTACCACATTAGGACTGCCTTGACTTGCTATGACTTCATACTGATAGCCTACCCAGGTTCCTGCTAGACTCTGCTTTTGTAATACTGCCGTTGTCTTGCGCTGTGTTCACCATTCACCATTCCTAAGAGACTATGTTTCATCTTCCTCCTGTGCCTGTCACATTGTGATGCCTAGGAATTACATTTATTTCAACAGGTGTTTCTTATGGACAGAGCAGTGGTGACACAGAAGCCCTGCATCAGGCTTACTGTCACATAGCTCATTCTCTGGGAGACACGGGCAAACCAAGAATTGAGGCTAGCACCGTGGCAAATGCCAAGAGCTCAGTAAAAGATCATCTTCAAGAAAATGAAGAGTCTTCAAAGAACATCTCTACCACAGAATCTGGTAAAGGCTGACAGCTTTAGCAGAAAGATGATGGGTGGATAATGAATGGACAGAATGTCTCTACTATTTACCCTCCTTAAATAGTGTTCATTGAAGTATATTTTGCATACAGTTTGCTGTGGTGATGACTTCTCAGTGTTTGACTATAAAGGGCATGATCAAATGAAACCCCACCAAAGTTAGAGCTAAACGCAGAAAACAGCTCACCTTCTAATGTGCCTTAACCAAATTGAGCAACAAATTTGGTGTACATGTATATGGGTATTAATGGTTTTTAGTAGAAACTAGTATTTTGAGATTTAAAAACTAAATCACATAACAAGTGTAAGTGTGAGTTCTGAGTATAGATAATGGAGTTGTATTTTATAAATTCAAAGAAAGGGTTCCTGGTACAATTTTGTCATGCAAACTTCATTTATTGTGCATGCCATTTTGTTAACTGTATGAAGTAGAGAAATTTTTGATTTTTGTGATACTCCGTGTGTAATTTAAGCAATTTAGGCAATGTTTTGGTTTCTAATCAAACTTTTCTCTCCTTTTAGATCTGCCCACAGTAGAGGAGCTGATGAAACCCATCAGGATAGACTCCTACGGGGTCAGTGGCTTTGACTTGCCGCCCATCAGGTATGAGGTTTGAGCAATGCCCTGTGCAGGATGGTTACTTAGTTGAGTCGTGTTTACTGTTTCAGTTGTTTTGTCTCGGAAATTATAACCATCTGTTCTGTGGAACCATTCCTAGTAAATGATTAATGAAAAATACAGGCTAGCGTGTGTCTACCTGTGAGCCTCTGCTCTTTTTTTATATTTATCATGACCAAAAGCAACTTGGGGAGGAACAAGTTTATTTGGCTTACACTTCCACATCATTGTTCATTATGGAAGGAAGTCAGGACAGGAACTCAAGCAGGACAGGAACTTGAGCTAGGCATGAGCTAATACAGAGGCCATGGAGGGGTGCTACTTACATGGCTTGCTCAGCCTGCTTTTTTATAGAACCACCAGCCCAGACATGGCCCCACCCACAATGGGTTGGGCCCTCCCCTATCAATCATTAGTTAAGAAAATACCCTACAGAATTACCTGCAGCCCCATCTTATGGAGGCATTTTCTCATTTGAGGCTCTCTCCTCAGAAGAGGAAGGTTGTGTCAGATTGATATGAAACTATCCAGCCCACAGATGTTGTGCTAAGGGAAGTAAGTCAGAGACAAACACCAAATGTTCCTGCATGTTTGAACTACATGGAATAGTAGAATATCATAGAATAAAAAGAAGAAAGGTAGGAGCTGCAGCAATAGAATTGTCAGTGGCTTGCTTGGTGGGGGTTGTCGGGGAGGGTGTTCTTTGATGCTTGTAGAGTTTCAGTTTCACAAAATCAGTATGGTGATAGATGGCAGTAAAGTTTGTTCAACATTATAAATAGATTTTATCACTGAAATGTACACTTACAGTGGTTAAAATTGTAAATTTTATGTCAAATACATATGTCATAAGAAAAATTGTAGAATAAACACACGCACAAAAAAAACTGAAGACAAATATACTTACATAATCCAAGGAACAGTCATTTCAGAGTGTCAATAATGCCATTGTTAGCACATTTAAACCTTTAGCAACTTAAACTGCTATAACATAGTCCTTGAAGTCCTAGTAGTAGACCATCAGACAATTATTTCTCACTCACACATGGGTCAGTGAGGCTGGCATGGGCTCTGCTCTATGTAGGCATTCAGTGCCCAGTGCTTCAGTCATCAGCTGTAGCTTTGAGGCTGTAGTGTCACCCAGCCAGTAGAGAAGTGGCCTGTCACTTTAGCTTTCATTCTGTCAGTCAGAACTAAGTCTTAGGAAACCAACTGAAGGAAGGTGGAAAGTGTGATTTGCTTGTGTGCCTAGAAAGAAAAGCATATTAGTTTGGTAGTGTCTAATTAGTACCCTCTTAATAACCAGATTGCCGATGGCTGTCATTTTTCTTTACACAAAGTCCTATTTAGAGCTCTCACCATCTGAAAGGCCATAATATCTAAGTGAAGCCTGGCCCTTTCCAGTTTGGGTGTGATTCTCTACCAGCAAATGAATGAATAGAAAGTCAGTGTGCTTCTTTACTGTGGGCAGTGTACAATAATGGAACTGGCTGTGTTCATAAATGGAAAGTCTGAGGGAAATAGAGCAGTCAGTATTGCCACTTAAAAAAGACCGGAAGGACCTTGTAAAAACCTTAAATAATGGGATTGCCCAGATTAGAACTACTTATGAATATACTGCCCTGGATAGCTGCTGCTCCTGTTCCTTGAAGGACTTATCTAAGGTTATCACCGTCAGCCAAGCCACAGTGGGTCTTGTGAGGGGGGCATGCCGTGTTGGGTGACACACTTTTTTCTCAGTCTACTCCCTGCCTGCAGGTAGTTTTAATACACCCATTTTCTGGCTCTGGGGAGTTGTTCTGCTTTGATTTGATTTGCTTTTGAACAAGATTATTGACCAGCGAGCGGCCTTCTGGTCTGTTTGGCTCCAGTCAGCTCCATGTGCCAGCAACTAGATTCAAACTTCTTTGCTAGATAAAATGTTAAACCTACTTGAGGTGTTTGGTTCTTGACACTCCTGGAACAGTAACCCCATGTGATGAACACAATCTATAGCCCTTATGAGAAACATTCAGTGTTCTTTCAATTGAGAAATTTAATGAAGTTCTATTTCTCGTACCATCTTTCCAAAGTGAGCCCTATTGCTGATGTCTAGATGTGAAGAGTAAAGCCAATAGGTTTTCAGTTTCTAAGTATTCCTTGTCAGTTCTCCAGAAGAGCCATTCTGTCCCGAGTTCAACCAGTTTCTTGTAATATCTTGCTGAAAGCAGCCAGCACTTAGTGTCATTATGTCCTCTCCAGCCACTTATTCCTCTTACTGTTCCAGGTGTGGCATGTGGTCAGGCTCATATGAAATTGGAAGTGGCAGATTAGCAAGTGTTTTGCACTAAAACGCCACTCTGTAGCCTCTGCCATCGGTTTCCTGGCACTTAGAGCCCATCTATGCTATTGCTTACATTATGATGGCAAGAACTAATGTCAGGGAAATGTGGCTTAGTTGGTACCCAGCAAGAACAGGAAACACTTGGATTAGCATCTAGACAGTATCTGCTGCTGCTGTGAACAGAGAAGAAGCTGATGTACTTCCCACTGGGTTAGAAGTTTCCAGCATTTACTGAGTAGCTTGTCTGCATAGCATAAAAATGGTAGCCTCTTAAACTGTTCTTCAATCACAAATCATAAGATATTCATATTTTTAGAGTTCTTATGGTGTACTGGTGTTTAACCAAATATAAGACATTCCCTGGAGATACAGTTCCCTAATTAAAAAAAAAAATGATGTAGCCAGACATGTTGCTGTATGCCTGTAATCCCAGAACTAGGGAGGCAGAAGCAGGTGGATCTCTGAGTTCAAGGCCAGCCTGGTCCACAGAACAAGTTCTAGAACAGCCAGGGCTGTTACACAGAGAAACCCTGTGTTGAAAAAACCATAACAAAAACAAATGCATGTTGACTTAATAAGAAATTGTGGGCAAAAATTATTTGCTGCATTAAAATTATCTGAAATTAGTCAAGCACAATTGTGCATGCTTATAATCTCAGCACTTAGAGTTGGAGGCAGGAGGATCGGGAGTTCAGGATCATCCTCTACTAAAATGTGAGTTAGAAGCCAGCCTCGGCTACATACGACCCTGCCTCAAATGAACAGAAAAAGTATAAGCAGTTACATGATAACATGTGGGTGTCCTAGGCTAACTGGTAGTGTAGTGTAGTGTAGTGTTTGACGTGTTTAACATTGTAACATCATTTAAATAGTTACAGCTCATGTGTCTGTGCAAATGTGGGTGGATACTACTGAGGAACTTGAGGAATTATGCTACATACTGTGCTCTACTTTGTTCTGTAGCCTTAAGAAAGCAGCTGACAGTAAGGAAGGGGAATCTGTGAGCTCTTTACTCCATAAAATGAACACAAACACTGTGTCTCAAGACCCCACTCACGTGAACCAGTTTCCCTACAAACACGATGAGAATGTGACTTTACACAAGACAGAGGGTGAGATTATGGGTGGTGGCTGTCCAGCAGCAACTGCTATGGAAGAGCGTTTGGACAAAATGTACCTAGAGATTTTGAAGAAAAAAACAACTGTTAACCCTTCACTATTACCTCAGGATGACAAAACTAATCAGGTAAGAAGTATGTGCTTAAGCTAGTGGGGCCGATGATGTCATCTGTGGGTAGCACTTATTACCAAAACTTCCAGTCTCCAAGTTCGGAGTACCACCATAGCATTCCCTTTCTTTTTATTTTCTTTTACTCTTCTCTCATACATTACATCCCAGCTACAGTTTTCCCTCCCTACTCTTCCAAGCCCCTCCCCTACTTCTCTCCCTCAGATCCACTCCTTCTCCATTTCTCTTCAGAAAAAGAGGAGGATATCCCAAGGATATCAAGCAGACACAGCATAACAAGTTACAATAAATCTAGGCACAAATATTCATATCGGGGCTGGACAAGATAATCCAGTAGGAGGAAAAGGGTGCCACAAGCAGACAAAAGAGTCAGAGACATTCCTAATCTCGCTGTTAAGAGTCCCACAAGAACACCTAGCTATACAACAACAACATACATGCAGAGGACCAAGGTCAGACCCATGCAGGTTCCCTGAATGTCTCTTCAGTCTCTCTGAGCCCTAGTTAGTTGGTTCTGTGGGCCATTTCTTTGTGGTGTTCTTGACAGTGGCCCCTGCAACCCTCTCTCCCTCTGCTCCCATAGGTTGCTGGATGACACCTCTCTGATCACAGTTGGGCTAGGCACTGATCTATGAGCATAGCACAATAACCATTTCCTCTTGCCTTTTCTTTCCTTTCTCTTTCCTTTTAGTAACTAGATTAAGACTTGGATAGTTTCAGAAAATAGTCTCATCACTTCGTTGCTCATAGCTCATCTTTCTCATAGTCTGCACCATAGGAGAGTTGGCATTTTATAGGATTGTGATTAGCAACTGTGACAAAATATGCATGTCATTGTTCCTTCTTTCTCTGCTTTTGTCTTTGTGCTTTATAGTTCCATGGTTCCAGCATTCTATTTTTACTTTCTAATTTTGTATTTGCTATAAAGCATCTCATTTTTGTGGAGTAAGGCAATGTGCTGTATCATTTTATTGTTACTGTGTTACTTCACAAACCTCATTATTTGCCAATCACAGTCTTGCCATGTGTTAAATTTTCATTAACAGCAACAGTAGTGTTTCATTCTGATACTAAAGAGTTTGTTCTTGTTGTATACAGACTTCCAGGACTCAGCTCAGTGCTGGGGAAGAGGGGCCTGTAACTGGTAAACAGGTTCCATACAAGAAGGCCAGAAGTGCACCTCCTTTGCTTAAGAGAAAGCCGCAGAGTGGACTGTACATGTCAGCTCGGAGCTCAGGGTACGGCAAGCCCACTTCGTCACTTCAGTTATTTTCTGCTCTTGAAAAGAAAACTTCAAAGGACAATACAAAAAGTAAAAATGTGAGATCCATTCCCACCTCAAATCAGTTTAGGAAAAAGGGTAAGAATACATTCTCTTCAAGATAAATTTGATACATTTAACTCATTATTTCATTTTCTTTGTTTTTTGTGGAGGAGAATGTTAGAGAACTGTATATTCTTCTTAGGGTAAGTGTAGTTTATAGCTTTTGACCCAGGATAGTGGCAATGAAGACCCTGAAAGGTAACTGATGGAAATGTGTTTAAAAGGAGAACTGATAATATAAAAATCTGGTTTGGGTCACTGCAGTTTTTTGTTCCAAGCAACTGAAGGACTGGAACTGCCACTCGCTGAGGTGAGAAAAATCGAGGTAAATTTTGGGTTGGAAGGAAGAGAGATTATGACTTTGAGATGACTATTTTGATTGACAAGTAGCTATGAAGAGAGGGCAGTTAGATTGAAAGTCTGGCATTCAAGAGGAAGTATAGACTCAAGATCCCATATGAGAACTTATTAATGAGCAGAAGACACATTTTTCAAAGCAGTAACACTTACTGAGCATGAGGATGTTCTTGTTACCTTTCTGTTGTTACAATACAACACCATATCTAAAAGCAACTTGGGAAGAAAGAATTTGTCTTATAGGCGACAGTCTATCATTGTGGAAAGCCAAGGCAGGGGCTTGAAGCAGAAACTACAGGGGGATGCTGAACTGAGTTGGTTGCCCTAGATTTTTCAGCTACCTTTCTTATACATCCCAGGTCCTGCTGCTTAGGGGTTGCACCACCCACAGTAGACCCTCCTGCTTGAATTATCAGTTAAGAAAATGCCCCACAGACATGCTATCCACAGACCAGTCTGTTGGAGTCAGTTCTTCAATTGAGGTTCCTTCTTCCCATTTGACCCTTAAATTTGTGTCTTTTGACAACTGAAGCTGTGACAGGATAACTAGAGGGTAAACAAACAGGTTCACTAGCAGATCAGACAGGACAAACTGCAAACAAAGCAGGAAGAATGAGGTGGGAGAACCCTGACAAAACCTTCAGTCTAGGAACTTCTGGGGGGCAGTTTCTGTGAAAGATAGAGTTGGAGCAGGAGCTGACTTGAGGGGAGGAGGAGCTAAGAGACACTTTGGGGCCACCACCCTAGCACTGTTGGTTAAGACATTTGCCACTGCAGCCTGGCAACCTGAGTTAATCCTGGAACCCACATGAAGGTGAAGGATAGAACCAACTCCTCAAGGCTGTCCTCTGGCCTCTACACCTCCATACATATCATGCACATATTATATCCACACAGTAATAAATTAGTATTTTTAAATTAAAAAAAAGAAGGGCAGGAGAGATGGCTTAGCAGTCAAGAGCCTTGGCTGTTCCTGAGTTCAGGTCCCAGCATTCACAAGGCAGCTCACAACTTCTATAATGGAATCCGACGCCCTCTTCTGGTGTGTGGATGTACATGCAGACAAACACTCATACACAAAAATACATAAATGAATAAATCATTTTAAATTTTTAAAAAAGAAACATGGCTTTGCTCTCAGTAGCTGAAGTGACTAAATGTTTGCATGTCATTAAGAAGGATTGAATGGGAAGAAAAAGGATGCACGGTGTAGTAGATAGAGGGAAAAATTGCCTGGGCAGAATCCTCGGCTTAGAAGAACTATGATGGTGCACAGTAGACTGCATTAGCTAGGAATGTGGACAGCTCTGAGTTCTGGGAAATGTGGAGGACAGGAAGAGAGCACAGGCTAGGAGCTGGACAGATGTGGGAGGGATGTGGATGTTCCTTCTATAGGTTTGCTTTGGTCTTCTTGGAAATCAACACCGTGCCGTTAGCTAGCAGTGAAAAGGGGAAGAAGGGGAGAAGTAAGCATCCAAGAGATTACTAAATTGGAGGTTAGAAGGCCATTGCATGATTGGTGATGGGAACCCAGATCATGCAGTACAAGTGAGAAGCTAAGGGGGAAGGAACGTTGAGGGGTTGCAAGGGCCTGGTATGTTGAATTCATTGCAAATGAGTACAGAAGTGTCACAGTGATTGAGAAAGGATCAATGTCAATGATGGGTTGATAGATGAAGGCAGCATGTTTATGAGTAAAGTTAACTAATATTCTAAACTTGTTTTTCAATATCTCAAAATCTTACAGTGTTTTTGACTATCAATCAAAATACATTACTCATTTTTATACTAAAGCATGCTGTTTGGGGGAGCTAATATGTTGAGCTAAGCACATTGCTATCAGTTACAGAATTAGGTGCTGTTAGTGGGGAGAAAGTGGAGGTTAGTGGCTAGCAGACCTGCCATGTGGGGACTGCCTTTTTATTCTAGTTACCTTTTATTTAGCATTTAGTGTTTATGTTTTCATTTGTAAAATAATACTGTTATGAGAAGAAAACTTGCTCATGATGAGTTCAAATTTAAAAATAGGGGAAAATAAGAAAAAGGAAAATTAACAAGGAATACTGGTGCCATGCTGAGCACTGAGTCAGGCTTTTCCCTGTGTGTGTCTTAAATGAGAGAAATAAAATGGATGGATGGGTGGGTGGGTTTCTAAGAGTAATATCTGGAAATGTCAGATAAAATCTATTAGTTCGTATACTCACCTAAAAATCAGTTTATAAAAAAATGAGATCACACTTCATAAGTTCTTTTTATTTTTTTTAACTTTTTAACTTACTTTATTCATATGGGTGTTTTACCTGCATGTGTATATTGTGTACCATTTGCATGCCTGGCAAATGAGGGGCCAGAAGAGGGCATAGGCCCTCCCAGAACTGGAATTACAGACATTTGTGTGCCACCAAGTGGGCATTAAGCATCAAACCTGGGTCCTCTGAAAGAACAGCCAGTGTTTCTCCCCTGTCCCTACAAGTTCTTTTTAAATATACTAGATGTAGGGTTATTAAATCTCCAAGGAGATAAACTTCATCCTTAAAAATTGCATGTTCTAAGAAAATAGATTTTGATAACCTCTGAGAGATTGCTAAAGCCATATTGTTGTTTCCTGGCTTTATTGTCAATTTTATGTATCACCAATCCCTTGTTTCCCTTCTGGGAAATATGAAGTAATATAATCTTCTTCCCCATGCCACCCAACCAGTGGTTTTGCTGTTTCAAGGTATATTTTCGCTTACAATCATATGTCCCTCAGTTTGGAGATTTAGTTCCTGCTTCTGGTTATTAAGGAAATTGAATGTCTGTTAATGATAGTGGCTCCAATGTAGAATTATTTTGGTTTTTTTCTTTTTGATTGAATGTTACTAATGCATTGTTTCTTCAAAGAGGGCTTTAGGGTTTTAATTCTGCAGTGTTTTTCAGTTTGAATTTCATTTCATATGAAGAAATTTTTATTTCTTAGATATCTTTCAGAGGACTTGGTTCAGTTGCTAGCACCCATTTGGTGGCTCACAACTGTCTTTTCTTCCAGTACCAGAGGATTCAGTGTCCCCTTCTGGCCACTTTGGGCACCAGACACAAACCTTGTGCACAGATAGACATTCCATAAGCACTCATACATATAGAAAAAAAAAGATTCAGGAATGGAAGTTCTGTTGTAAAAAGACTGGTAGGCTAAACTTATATACACAAAACCACCTGTTTTTAGCTGTGTGGTCCTAACAGGCATGTGCTGGCAGGACACACCTAGCCCTTGGTCACAGTATAACCTGCCAGTGATTGAAAGAGATCACATGTTGTATCTGCAATGATTCAATCTTTTTATGAATGCTTTAAGACATTTCTTTAGAAACATACATGAAACACACTAAGTATGATGATGGCTGTAAGGAGAACCTTTATATGTGCCTACAGAAAGGATAGAAATGAACCTTTCTGTGAGGAAGTATTGAATTATTTCTTCTTTTAGCTTTTCTGTATTTTCCAAATATATGATGATATTTTTAATTTAAAAATACATTTAAGCAAATCTTGAGGAAATCATTGTTTAAAGAAAACAAACCACAAAATTTGAAGTTACTTATTTACCTTTAAGGCAGCTGGACAATGTTGGTGGGATGTTCAGAGCCTGTCACATTTGAATGTGGGCTTTACGATTCCACAGAAGCATCTCCCTACACTGCCTGTTGCTAACTGAATAGTACACTGGCCTCAGAATTACTTCGTCTTTGGAGTTTAGAAGTTACTGTAAAAGCAGAAAACGAGACCAAATGTGTGTGTGTGTGTGTGTGTGTGTGTGTGTGTGTGTGTGTGTGTGTTGAGGGGCATTTTTTTTAGATCAAAGAGTTTCATTTGGCTAATTTGTTAGATGATGCTATTGAATCATCTTTGAAATCAGACTTGGGTTAACCCATGATGTACATGGCTCCATTGATGCTGCACACTGAGTATCCAAAGTGTGCTCAAGACAGTGACTCTGAACTAACATTCTTCATACTTATCAGCTGCTCTTTCTGACTCATCATGTGGACATCCTTATTGTGACCCTCTTAGAGAATGACTTGTTCAAAGGTGGTAAAGTCTTGAAGTTACCCTGCTTCAGTCTCCTTATACTCATTTAGCTCCATCTGTAGATGCTGATTGTGGGTGGCTGCTGGGTTGCAGTGCCATAATGAAAGGACTGTGTTGTGGTGTGTTGTGGGTGCCACAGCCTGTGTAGTGATCTACATTTTACCTCCACATTGCTGCTGTCCTCATATTTATTGTCCGTCGTTTCTGAATGCACATTCAACCTTCCTTTTATGATGCTTTCTTCTCTTGTCTATAATATTTAGAAATATTATCTGGAACAAAACTCATCAAGCCTGCAGCTTTGAATAGACCATCCCCGCAAAGTGAAGGTAGCCTAACTACACCTAAGCAGCCTGAAGATCCCACAGCTGATTCCTCTGTCCAGTTTCAGACTGTAGGTATTGCAGTTTGTATTAATATTTATAATTTTTATATGTTAAAATCATTTTAAAACTAGATTATAAAGAGTATGTAATAATTACATACTGTAAGAAAATACCACAATTGAAGTCGATAAATGTGTACAGATAAAATACGAAATTTCTTTTCCTTATTCACATCACTTACTGATTTCTCTTACTGGATTCTATTACTTACTGGTAATAGATCATTATTCCTGTGTCATGGCCAGTCTGTTTTCTGGTTTGTGTTCTGGTCTTTACCATACAACTCATGTAATGAACGCATGCTTCTTTTGGAAAGGAGCCTCCAGGAAATGGAGAGAAAGAATTGCTGATGTTGAAGAGAGCTCAGGAAGCAGAAGAAAAGTGGAGAGGTGCACAAGCCCTAATTGAGCAAATTAAAGTCACATTCTCAGAAAAGGAGAGGGAGCTGGAGAACACACTGGAAACCCTGAAGAGACAGCAGGAAGGAGAGCTCTTCAAACTGAACCAAGAAAATTACATTCTTCAGACCAAGGTACCAAATGCACTGTTCTGTTTTTCCTTCCTGTCTGTTAAAAAACAAGCCAACAAACAAGCAAACAGCTATGCCTCTTACTAAATTCCTTATTTTCTTGGTACCTGGAGCTGTTCGATTTGCCACATACACTACAGACTTGGGTTCTTGGTTCTCTCCAGAGTGAGCTGAACCATGGGAAAATCAAACAAGGCTCTTTGATGATTTGCCTGTGTCAGCTGTTCTTTTAAAAACAAATCATTGAGTTCATTATGGCCATCAGAGAAACAATGGTTTTATCAGGAAATGCAGTAGAAGGTATAGAAACAGAGAGTCACTGCAATGTTCGTGAGTTCTTCTCTCACCAGGAAGTTGCTGTGTTGACGTGACCATGGTCACAAGCACTTCCCAGGATGATCAGTAATGGAGGCTGTTTTCTCTTCATTTCCCTATTCAAATAAAACGTTTTCTCCATTTTCTTAAAGTTAAGTAGCTTTGAAGAAACAAGCAGAAAACAGAGATGGCTACAGCTTGGAGAAACATCCGATCCCATTACTGGAGAAAAGCTGAAACAAATCCAAAAAGAAATAGAAGAACAAGAGACACTTCTTCAAGGATACCAGCAGGTGTGGGCAGTTCTTCAGCCTCTGATGACTTTGGTTTTGATGCTTTAATTATAAAAGTAAGGTATATTAAAATACTGCTGTGGTCATTTAACATGCATATATAAGCAAGGTAATATGACTAGTTTTCTTTCCCCACCTTTTCCCCCTTCCCCCTCCTTCCCTCCTTTCTCTTATGCCCTGGAACTCACTCTGTAGTCCAAATGGGCCTCAAGGTTGTGATCCGCCTCCCAAGTGCTGGGTACAGGCATGCACTGTCTTGCCCAGTTGGCCTGCACATTTCTTATTAGCCAGATTAAAGTAGCTAAGAGAATCAATTCTGAACTCAAATAAAAACCTGATTTTAAGTCTTAACCTAACACCTACTGTGGAGCCATATGTAACCCTCTCACCCCTCTTTCTTTATGAGTAGAGATAATAACACAAGGGAATAGTGAAATTCAGAATACAACAGTACAAACCAGCCTCCTCACCTGGCACATGGTAGTCAGAAATTGTTGCATGCTATTTTAATAGCCATGTTTCTTAGAAATGATTTTTTTTTCCTTTTGGCCTAAACCAGAATTGCGTATATAGTCCTGCTGGGTTTTCTCACCCCTAGCCCACCATGTAGGTGAGAGGCTTCTCCACTCTCCCTTTTGCATTTACTCTGGTAAGATTCAGTGTATTACACTGACAGTAGACTCCAGTTTGGGGGAATTTTAGAACTTTTTTCCAAGTAAGCATTTTTAGCATTTTAGAAAGAGTTGTGTGTAGAGAAGTTGCCTTCTAAGATAATAAAAGATATGGAAAAAGAATTTTATAAAATTAAAATCTAAGAAAATTTTAAAGACCACTTAATTGGTTTATTTACTAATATTCCATTTTATGTTTTAAGTGCTGCTAACTTTTAACTTAAAAATCATTTTTCTGTTTTTAAAAAGGAAAATGAAAGGTTGTATAATCAAGTAAAAGATCTCCAGGAACAAAATAAGAAAAATGAAGAGCGAATGTTTAAGGAAAATCAGAATTTATTTAGTGAGTTAGCCTCTTTAAAGTAAGTTCTCTTAAATTTCTGACACTTAAATATACTTAACAATTTCTAAGCATATTGTTAACATTTTTTTCTAGGAATGGTAAATACCATTACATGTGTCTGTTTTCCTTTGTACACTGATTTCCAGTCTTATAACTCTTATATTGCATATCTAGAGAATTTTTCTCTTAGTAATTGAGAGCTAGTATAAATTCCAGTATTTACAACATACCCATATGTGAGTTTGACATTGCTTTCAAGAAACCGAAAATAGAGCACTTGTCTTTGTCAGTAGATAACTATTCTCTAATCAATGGTTTGATTAATAATGCAAAAGTAAAACATAAAAACTACAGTATCAGTTTGGCCTTAGGTTCTGTAGAAACAGAATAACTGTGGGATAGCTTTGGAAAGAGCAAAAGAAATCAGAATTCTAGAAAAAGAGAAAAAGAAACAAGGAGGAAAGTGAGAGGATGCAGAGAGTATGACCTCAGGCGGGACCTGGCTTTACCCTGACGCTGTCAGGGAGCTCTAGAGAGTAGACAGAACATATTATAGGTCAGAGCCTGTGGTTTTGGCTGAAGCCAATTGTTCAGGGTTTGGGGGGAGGTCACCTATGAGTTGTTACTATCCAGTACTCTCTATAGAACAGTGAACACCACAGACTGCTTACTCATATGCTAGACCCTGGGTCATTACCTTACTGTCGGAAGAATAAACACCAAACCTACAAAGTGCACGCATGAGGGAGGGCACTGTCTTCCACTGGGTAATGACTATTTAGTGCATTGTTCCACATAAATGGCCAGTCACTGGCCAGAAGTTACCAGAAGTTTTGTTGACTAGGAATGTCATGAATGCTAACCATATTTAATAACAGGCTCTCTTTTTTAAGATAGCTCATAACATGAAAAGTGTAGCCTTTAGCATATACTGACCTTTCATGTAAAATAGAAAAATATACACCCTGTAGTAGACAGAAGTGACAGCTGTACAGATTGGTGAGCAGTGCAAGGGAGAGAGAAAGAGGAGAGAGAGAGAGAGAGAGAGAGAGAGAGAGAGTTTTAATGCTCCTTTCTCCAGGTCAGTGTGGCCCCAAAGCCAGGTGTATTGATCCCCTGCTTGAAAATACTTACATCTTCTTTCAAAACACTTCTCGTAAGGGTTTCTGGCAAAAACCCTGTCTTAACTGGAGATGTGACTCAGTTGATGAGGTCTGGGGTCAGTCCCTAGTACCACATACAGTAGGGCTAGTGTACATGCCTGTAGTCGCAGGACTCTGGAGGGAGGCAGGAGGCTTGGAAGTTCAAGGCCATCTTCAGTCATGTAGCAACTTAGAAACTGGCTTAGACTGTGTGTCAGACAATGATAAATAAACATAACTTCAAAAACACTACATTTTTACCACCTGTCTTCTAGAAAGAACTACTACAAAATCCCAAACTAAGAGAACTTCCATGGTAAAATAATTAACTTAGATAATTTTTTAAAGAATTTATTTAGAACATTAGGACTATATTATTTTATAGAAATTTCTGGAAAAATACCTAAAATTTGAGTCTGCGGTCCAGATATGTTTGTGGTTTTGTTTCTGTGTATAAAATTGGGCTTTGTGTGTGTTAGAACAAGAGTCGGCAGTGAGACCAGGAGTACGCAAAAAGCTCTACAGAAACAGTAGCGCTTCGTGTGCTCTGTGAATTAGAAGCAAATGTTTTCAAATTTTAATTAAAACAAGTATCTTCATTTTCTGCTCTTCCAAAGTGAAAAGTCTAAGTGTTTCCCTCAAATCTACTTTTCTTTAACATGTCCCTACTTTCTTCTTTAGACTAATGCTTTTTTCTCTGTGGTAATACACATAGTGTGAGTTCATTAGAGTATTTTGTATTAAAAGGAGTACCTTGTTTTTTAAAGTCTTTTTTCCCCCCAAAATCAGAGAACAGGTGCACAAAAATCGTTTCCTGTCTCAAGCAGTTGAAAATGCAGAACCCACCAAAAACCAGAGTTTTACAGATCTGCTAGCAGAATTACGGGTGGTGCAGGTAAGCGGGATAAGGATTTAAACTATTAAGGAATGTCATAGACATTCCAGTATGTGTAAAAAAAAAATCTGTTTGTAATAAATATATAAATAAAACATATTTTAGCCAGGCACTGGTGGCGCACGCCTTTAATCCCAGTACGTGGAAGGCAGAGGCAGGTAGACCTCTGTGAGGTGGAGACCAGCCTGATCTACCTAGCAAGTTCTAGGCCAGCCAGGATTACAACATAGTGGAAATCTGCCTTTTAAAAACAAAACAACAACAACAACAACAAAACCCTGCTTTTAGATAAAAAGGTAATAGGTCAAGTATCAAGTATCGATGAGTGCTAGTCAGGGGAAAGCTTGTCTTTTCAGAGAACATGGTCAGGCAAGGTCTTCCTGGGTCTCCTTTTGAGCAGTCATGACAGGAAGGAGCAAGCTACCTACCCAGCAGAGGGATACCTGACAGACCCTTTAGGTAGGCGTGCTCTAGGGGTAGGGGACGTTCACAGAACAGCAAAGAGACCTCTGTAGCTATAGTGAACAGAAGATTAATATAAGTGTGCTCAGTCAGAGTCATGGCTGGGTTATGTGACCCTCAAAGTCATGGTTAATTTAGGGTTCACCCTAAGAGAAGAACCAGCAGAGGCTTCAGCTGGAGGAGTGTGGCTAATCCTGCTGACTGCTGTGAGAACCAGCGTAGGCGCTGAGAGGGAGAATGCTTAGATGAGAGGGTACCGAAGCAGTCCAGGCAAGGGGCTTGGAAAAGAACACATTAGGATATTAGAGTGGGAATCTCCAGTGTGATGCTGAGAAGACTGGAACCAGTGTTAGAGACTGTGGGAAGTTAATGGTTCACAGGTAGAGCACCCTCTGTTCCTTTTAGATAAAATGTGACCTGAGATTGGGGAAACATCACAGCTGTATTTTTGATGGATTGAGAGGAGAGAATATCCCATGATTTATTTATTGTGTTTGGAAGTAACCCACTTTTATATTCCTTCAAATATCAAGAAAGAGAAAAACCATCTGATGGAAGACATCAAAAGACTGAAGCAAGACAAACAAGCTCTTGAAGTGGACTTGGAAAAAGTGAAGAAAGAAAGGGACCAAGCCAAAGATCAGATTGCTTATGCCACAGGTTAGCACGGCTAAGACCATTCTCAGTTCTCTGATGGTTCCAACCATGAAACCAAGTAATAGAAACTGAATGGTATCATTAAAATACTTATCCTGTAGGGAACCTGTAACCTTTGAAACATTTTAAAATTAGTGATAAAGTGATGCATACTTCTTATTTTAATTAGAACAGTTGCAGCATCAAGGGAGACTCAGGCATTAATTGAACTCATAGCTTCGTGTTGAGCAGTTTAAAGTCCTGTGGTGTTAGCCTGGCCCTGAAGTCAGGGCTGAACATGCTCGGAAGGATTTGCCACATGAACATGCAACCCTGTATTATATTGTATAGGGGTGAAAAGAAACATGACATGGTGCCCACGAGGAAAAATTCAGGGAGAAAGATAAGAATGAACAGAATTTATTGGGGGGGGGGTAACAAACAAACACCAAGAGTTTTGGAGAAGAAAGGTGTTGGAGCCAGGCCCAGACAGTGAGATTCGGAAGTAAAGGAATAGAGAGAGGCTCAGGTATGCGCCTTCGGCACATTGCTGGGTAGCTAGTCAGGGCAGCAGAACTTCCATCTACAGCGCCTCGGCTTCAGTGTGAAGCTGAGCAAAGAAGCCATTCTTAACTGCACATAAAGCAATGTTCCCTTCCCTTATCTCTAAAGGAGGAGAGTAAAAGGTTTTTCTAAAACAAGTTCAAAAACATTTTTCATGTAAATTTGTTGTTAACTAAGCCACTTGTAAATGTATGCCATTTTTTTATTTAACTATAAACATTCCTTGAATCTATTTTTCCCCTGGAAACAACTTGATTTTCATAATATATTAGTGGGGAAAAAATCACATATTTCTAGATGTTTTCATTAAGTAGACATTGTTTTTTATTTAAAGTGTTGGAATTTTGTGATTTCTATATTTTTAAAAATTATTACGAGGTTGCTGAGTTATTTTATTGTCTAGGTGAAAAATTATATGAAATAAAAATTTTAGAAGAAACACATAAACAAGAAGTCAGTCGTCTGCAGAAGCGGTTACAGTGGTACGCCGAGAATCAGGAGCTTCTAGACAAGGATGCGGCTCCCCCCCCAGAGGCCAATGAAGAAGCTGAGAAGCTGAAACTGGAGGTGCCTTTGTGCATGAGCCCTCTTGCTAGGCTGTCACTCCTGTGTCACTCTGTCACTGCTCCCTTATGTTTGTGTTTTGTCGCCTGTACTGGAGATGAGTCCAGGGCCTTGAACTTGCTCTGCCATGGCACTACACCCCTAGCTCTGAAACCCTTACTCTTAAAGCCTGAATTTATAGCCAGTTTGGCTTTTGGTTTGAGTTCAGATGATTAGTCTTTTTAGATAGACTGTAGATAAACGCCAGCTACTCATCACAGCCTGTAGGGACCGTATGGCCTGACCCATAGGGGCCTGACTCAGCACCTGCTCTGCTCCACTCAGTGAGCTGACTCGCTCCCTCCACACAGCTGCCTTGTCCTTGTCAAAACTCAGCTCAGGTGTCTACCCTTAGAACTTCCTCCCCAACCCTGCTTTTCTTTCACTCCTTCACACTTCTGTTTGGTTGCTAGCGCTTGTCTCTCTGTAAAGTGATTCTCTTAGCCTATCAACCATCTGACTCTATAAGTACGAAGACCCAGATTGTCTTGTTTTCCCGAATCTTCAGCCTCCAGTACTGCCCCTGGAGACACTTGGAACAAAGGACTAGCTCAATCAGTGTCTGTTACAGAGTTATTGATGAGTTAACATTATCATCCCCCACCTATGAGCTTTCCTGATGTTGCCAATACACTTCTTGCCTCCTTTGTGGACAGATTGAAAAACTGAAAACTGAGTCCGGGAGCCCAACCACTCAGCAGAGGTTACGCTCGAAGGAAAGAGCTCTGGATGCCAAAAGAATTCAGGATCTGGAGCGGCAGGTAAGTGTCCCAGAGGAATTTTGAGTGGAGCACTTTTAATGTATCCAGACTGAATTATTCCAGATATCCTTAAAGTGCCGGCAATGAAGTGTGTAAGATGGCATGACCCAGGGCTCACATCTGCAGGCTGAGGCTCTCAATTGGAAGATGGAGACCTATTGATGAGAGATCCTTTTGCCTCCCCGCTCTAGAAAACTTTTAGGAAGACAGAAGCAGAAAATTTGAAATAATTGGGTAGTGAGTTTTAATTCCTGCTGAGGCAGTAGGATCACCCGAACCCAGGAATTCAGGGCAATCTCAGAAATACAGCAAAACCTTTTTTCTTCTTTCAGATTAGCCCATATCCTGACCCAAAAAAAAAAAAAATAGGTGGGAAGGGAGTACATGAAGAAAGATCCTAGAATCTGGAATGTGCCTCTAACACTTGGGAAATGTTACAAAACACTGTGCACAATCATCCTGAGCCTTGCTCACCGCTGGGCACCACAAGTGTTCATTTCAGTGTCACTGTAGCAAGGAGATTTATTAAACTCTTACTGTGGAGCTTCTCAAGGTGAAGAATTTTTTTTTTATTGAAGTAGTTGTGCAGGAATACAGAAAATTTCCTTTTATTTTTAAAGCATTCTATGTAGCATTTATATTCCTAGCTAAATATTAAGGTGTGATTTTCCAGCCTTTGATGAGGGAACAGGACTTGTGTAATAGCCTCCTGGCACTTAGACAGCTATTATTTCATCACAAGTCCAAGACTGTGAGGTCATCACAGAGCTGAATGGTTTTATGAGGAAGTAAAAATTCAACTTTGTTACTTTTACAGGACTTTTTCTGATATTAAGAGGTATGACATAGGAATTTGGTTAAAGAGCCAAGAAAAGATCAGGACAAAAGTGGCTTGAAGAGTGAGAAATATTTTAAAGTGAGTGTAGTGTGAGATTGTTCTTGGATTGTCTTCAGGGCTTAGGGTCCATGTTGCCCAGTGTAGAAACAGCTGTTCAGACCTGGGAGGGGACAGAGACAAAGGAGTAAGTCCATTAGATGATCTCCTAAAGAGAGACCATGTCAAACTGGATGTGTGGGGAGGAGAGAAAAGGTATGCTTAATAAGACTTCAGATAGTGGGGCTATGGAGATGGCTCGGTCATTGAAGTGCTTGCTATGCAAACATGTAGAGGCGAGTGCAATCCTTAGGGCCTCCAGAAGCATATGCCTGTCATACCAGCTCTGGAGGGAGCAGAAACAGAAGGAAGCCTTGTGTTTACTGGCGTCTAGCCAATAAGCCCAGTCCATAAACCCCAGACACCAGTGAAAAAATCCTATCTCCTAAGACTCCTCCTGAGGGATAGCTGCAGTTTCTGTGCACTGGAGCACAGCACTGTCTTACAGAAAAGTCTGAAAACATGTCATTAGTTTTTAGACTGAGTGAAAACTGCCTTTTATGAACATTTTAAGAAGGTCATTTTAGGAGAGGGAGAAATGGCTCTGCAATTCAGAGTACTCGCCATTCTTGCTCAGGACCCAGATTCGATTCCCAGTACCCACGTGGCAGCTCACAGCTGTCTGTGTCTGCAGTCCCAGAGGGTACAATGCCTTCTTCTGACCCCTGTATGTATTGCATGCACATGGTGCTCGGAGAAAACACCCATACATGTAATTTTCTTTTAAAGTGTAATGTCACGTGTCCTTGGCAGGGAGATGCTTAGGACAGTCTGTGTCCGCTCTGCGGTAGTGCATTGCCTTCTCTGTGCAGTGGGTTCTAGAAGTGCAGTGACACAGAGGGGTCCATGGGCAGAACAAGAACGCTCTACTCCAGACAGACTGGAGGTGTGCTTTGAGTGGCTGTGAGAGATGCCCATAAGGTTAATTAGATGTTAAGAGGGTAATCTTGTGAAATGGCGGCACTCCTGTGCCTTTGATCCAGCATGGCGGTAGGATGTAACCATCCTTGACATGACCATCTAAGCTTAGATAGTAAACTGCCTATTTATGTATATTTGTCAACTTACATATATTTAACACATTTTCATAGGTTAAAGAAATGGAAGGGATTCTGAAGAGAAGATACCCCAACTCCTTACCTGCCTTGATACTGGCTGCCTCAGCAGCTGGTGATTCCGCAGATAGAAACACAGTGGAATTTATGGAAAGAAGGATAAAAAAGCTAGAAGCTGATCTGGAGGGCAAAGATGAAGAAGCAAAGAAAAGCCTGCGCACCATGGAGCAGCAGTTTCAGAAAATGAAGGCAAGTGCAAGGTAGCAGAGGTGGTGCAAGGGAGCAGGTCGTTCCCAGCCCTCACTTTAACAGCTCTGAGCATCCTTGCCCACCAGTGCAATTCCATATAAAAGAAGTCTAGGTCCATCGTGTCTTCTTGAACTGTCAGCAACTCCCTTCTCCCTTCTATTTCAGACAGAATAATCAAGCACAAGATATGTTTTTTTAATAAATATATTTTACATCCTGGCCAGTTTCCCCTCCCTCTTCTCCTCCCAGGCCCTCACCCCCCACCCTTACTCCTGTTTCCATCCCCCAATCCACTCCTCCCTTTCTGTTTAGGAAAGGGCAGGTCTCCCATGAGTATCAGAACTTGGCATATAAAGTTGCAGTAAGACTAAGCACCTCCCCATGTATTAAGGCTGAACAAGGCATCCCAGTATGAGAAGAAGGTCCCAAAGTCAGCAAAAAAGTCAGAGACAGCCCCAGAAGAGGGCCAAGCTGTAGAATTGTCACATATATGCAGAGTGCCTAGGTCAGTCCCATGCAGGTTCCCTGGTTATCAGTTCAGTCTCTGTCAGTCCCTTTGAACCCAGGTTACTGATTCTTCGAGTTTTCTTGTGGTGTCATTGACCCCTTTGGCTCCTACAATCCTTTCTCCCCCTCTTCTGCAGGATTCTCCAAACTCCAACCTAATGTTTGGCTGTGAGTCTGTATCTGTTACCATCAATTGCTAGATGAACCCTCTCTTATGACTATTGGGCTAAGCACCAATCTGGTCACAGGAGATGGGCAGTTGAGGCTATGTGTCCGCTATTGCCAGGGGTCTTAGCTGGCTTCATCCTTATAGATTCCTAGCAAATTCCTTTGCTCCAGGGTTTTACCTGGCCCTGAAATGTACCCCCCTCTCCCTTTAGTATTTTTCAAGTATTCTCTCCCTCCATCCCCACCCACCCTTAGTCTACTCACAAAATCTCTATTTCCCTTCCCAGGGAGATCCAGGATTCCCCCATGAGCCCTCCTTGTTACCTAGTCTCTCTGGATCTGCGGATTGTAGCATAGTTATTCTTTATTTTACAGCTAATATCCACTTATAAATGAGTACATAACATGTTAGTCTTTCTTGGTCTGGGTTACCTCACTTGGGATGATTTTTTTCTGGTTCCACCATTTGCCTTGTTTTTAACAGCTGAGTAGTACTCCATTTATAAATGTGCCATATTTTCTTTATCCATTCATTGGTTAAGGGGCATCTAGGTTGTTTTCAGGTTCTGGCTTTTACAAGTAAAGTTGCTATGAACATAGTTGAGCAAGTGTTCTTCTGGTATGATTGAGCATCCTTTGGGTATATACCCAAGAGTGGTATAGCTGGGTCTTATGGTATATTGATTCACAGTTTTCTGAGAAATCAACATATTGATTTCCAAAGTGGCTGTATAAGTTTGCACTCCCACTACCAATGTAGGAGTGTTCCCCTTGCTCCACATCCTCTCCAGCCTGGGATATCACTGTGTTTTTGATCTTAGCCATTCTGATAGGTATAAGATGGAATCTCAGAGTCATTTTGATTTGCATTTCCCTGATGACTAAGGATGTTAAACATCTCCGTAAGTGTTTCTCAGCCATATGAGATTCTTCTGTTGAGAATTCTCTGCTTAGATCTATACCCCATTTTTAAATTAGATTATTTGGTTTGTTGATATCTAGTTTCTTGAGTCCTTTATAAAATTTGGAAATAAGCCCTCTGTCAGATGTGGGGTTGGTGAAGGTCTTTTCCCATTCTGTAGGCTGCCATTTTGTCCTGTTGACAGTATCCTTTGCATTATAGAAAGTTTTCAATTTCATGAGGTCCCATTTATTAATTGTTGATCTTAGTGCCTATGTTATTGGTGTTCTTTTCAGGAAGTTGTCTCCTCTGCCAATGTATTCAAGATTATTTTCTACTTTCTCTTCTATCAGGTTCAGTGTATTTGGATGTATGTCAAGGTCTTTGAACTGCTTGAACTTGAGTTGTGCAGGGTGATAGATATGGGTCTGTTTGCATTCTTCTACATGCTGACATCCACTTATGCCAGTATCATTTGTTGAAGATTTTTTCCCCCCCATTGTATAATTTTGGCTTCTTTGTTGAAAATCAGGTGTCCAAAGGTGTGTGGATTTACATCTAGATCTTCATTTCAATTCCATTGACCCAATGTCTGTTTTTAAGCCAATACCAAGCAGTTTTTATTACTATAGCTCTGTAGTACAGCTTGAAGTCAGGGGTGGTGATACCTCCAGGAGTTCTTTTATTGTACATGATTGTTTTATCCACCCTATAGTAGGTAATTACCAATACGGAGTCAGGTAGAAATATAAGGGTATTTAATAGGGAAAAGCCTTACTTACAGAGCGAACCAGCCAGCCGGTGGTAGTCTGTACAGCAAGAAGCAAAGAGAAACTGAAACCGAAAACGCAGTCCCCCTACTCATTCTGACCACGCCCTCACAAGCCCTTAGGTATTCTTGTAGCCAGCCCCTAAGAAGGCGTGGCTACAGCTTCCCCTACACCACCCTGGGTTTTTTTGTTTTTCCATATGAAATTATTGTTCTTTCAAGGTCTGTAAAGAATTGTGTTGGATTTTAATGGGGATGGCATTGAATCTGTAGATTGCTTTTGGTAAGATTTTTACTATGTTAATCCTACTGATCCGTGAGTATGGGAGATCTTTCTATCTTCTTCAGTTCCATTCTTGAAAGATTTGAAGTTCTGTACAAGATATCTTTATGCACTCCTGTCAGTGTTAGGGTCAGAGGAAAATAGATTAAAACACCTCTGCTGTATTTCAGAAGCAAAGGAGAGAAGACACTGCCATTATTGAAATATTTCCACTGATGTTCATCTAGGCGCCACCTTGGAGGTGGGATGGGTTCCTGAAGAGCATCCTAGCCCAGGAATTTCTTAATTCCTGGATTTTCCATTCTTCTGTGGGACAGAAATGAATCAAAGTGTTCACTCCAGCTCCATCGGGGTCCTCTTGTCCCAACTCACGTCTCTGTCTTCTATATGCATGTGTGCATACCACCACCATCCCTTTTAAGTGGTAGTCCTGGGGTTAGACTCAGGGCTTCAAGTGTACTAGCCAGGTGCTCTACCACTGAGCTACAGCCCAGCACCATGCACATCCACGTTTGTTGATTCCCCTAGAACCATTTCTGTGTGATCACATTAAATATCCAGACCAGATATTTAATAACTTTTTTAAACAATTAGCCACTAATTGTAAATACTAGGAGGATCAAGTGTTTCTCAAACACTTCAGTCCCTCCAGTTGCTTTATGTGTTTATCCTCAGGGTATGACAGCTTGCCTGGAGAAGCAGCATCATAGACTGACATTAATTTAATTAGTTTAACAGTATGAAGTATCAATACTATTACTTTAGTAAGCCTCAACTATTTTTTTCTTTTTGAGACAGTGCCTCATCAACTCAGGCTGACCTTGAACTCACTATGTAGACAGACCTTAAACTCCTGATCCTCCTGCCTCCACCTTTTCAAGTTCTGGGGTTGCAGGCATGTGCCACCATGCACAGCTCTTAAACTTTAAAATTTTAACTACCCAAGGACTGCATAAGCACACGTATTATCTAATAAATGATATAGTTTCACCCTTCAGAGAATAAGACCTCAGTACATCTGATTTGCAAAGAAATATGTGAGTGTTTGGATAGAGGACTATATGCGCATAGTAAAATGCAGGGTTTCTGGAAGTAATGGCGTGCTTAATGGGCTTTGACGGGACCTGAATTCTTTCCTCAGATCCAGTACGAACAGCGGCTGGAGGAGCAGGAGCAGCTGCTTGCCCACAGACTGAAGGAAGCTCCACAGAACCAGCGCAACAGCTCAGCCAGACTTAAGGCACTTGAGACAGAACTTGGGGAAATAAAGGAAGCCCATGAGGTCACTGTAAGAAAGCTAGAAGCTGAAATCAGTGATCTCAAACATCAGAATGCTGCGTTAGAACACAAGAAAAATGACAGAGAGGATCAGGACCTCCAGTCCCTAGAATTCCAGGTAGAGCAGGCGCATGCTAAAGCAAAGCTGGCAAGACTCAACGAAGAACTGGCGGCAAAGGGGAGAGAGATACAGGACCTTTCGAAAACTGTGGAGAGGCTCCAGAAGGAGAGAAGAATGATGCTGTCTAGGCAGGGCCCCAGGAGCAGAGAGGAAACATCTGCCAAACAGGTGAAGAAAGAAGTTCTACACCCCAGTAGAGGGAATGCAAACTCCTTCTCTGGAACCCTAGATGCCAAACTGTACCACCCACACACCTTCACTGATTCCCATGTTTCAGAGGTTTTACAAGAAAACTACAGATTGAGAAAAGAACTAGAGGGATTGATTCTAGAGAGGAATAAGCTGAAGATGGACTCTGAAGCAGCAGTATACCAATTTGAAAACTCCATGAAAAGGTAAAAGGTTAAATTGTTCATAAACATGGGAACACAAACAGGTTTTTTTTTTTAACTATATGGTGTATTTTCTCTGTAACTTGACCTTGAAACACATCTATAACATAAGAAACTATAGTTGATCAATTGCTAGAATGCTTACCTAGTGTATGTGGAACCCTGAGTTTGATCCCAGCACCACAGAAACAGGGTGGGTAGTCCATCCATGTCCTCCTAACACACAAACACATGGTAGAAGCTGGAGGATCCTAAGTCCAAAGTCATTCTCAGCTACGTAGCAAGTTACAGGCCAGCTTAGGATACATTGGACTGGTCTTAAAAAATATTATATTGTGTGTATGTAGTGGTAGTAGTAATATGTGAAGACAGGATTTTCAGTGAGGCTCCTCTACCTGCTGAAGCACCAGATCCTGATGACTTGAGCCTCCATGCCATGTCTTTGGGGTGACTGGCAAGTTTCCTCTCTCTACTCATAAGCTAGTTCTTCCCTCCCCCCCAGGCTCCCATCGCTGCCCATGATTGCTAAATGCTAATTCCAACTGCCAGTCAGTTTTATCTATCTCCTTTATTGCTTGAGTTCATTGTCTATAGGATAGTGCCTATAAATGTTCCCCCATACCACCCTTCTTTCTGTATCTAACATTACGTATGTACGTACTTGTGTGTGTGTGTGTATGTGTGTGTGTGTGATGTATATTTTTTAAATGTTCTCATAGTCATCTGGTCATTGTTTCCTTTAGTAACTCCCAACTTCCTTCAATTTCTAAATTTCTCTGCCTAGCATTTCAAATCCATGGCCACTCTCATATTATTCTCTGTGCCTCTTGCTCAGTTGTGTTTGAAGTTCTGCTTCTTTCACAAAACATTGGTTGGCATATCTCAGAAAATTGCTTACTCCGTCCGACCCACAACTCCTACATAAGCATTAAGCATCACCCGCCTTGTAGCTCCCAAAGAACAGAGAAGATTGCACTGTTTGCATGCCCATGCCTGAAACTACCTTATTTCACTCAGCAGGATGACCATGGGAGTAGCACCCACAATGCTTATTTTATTGATCGATTGACAGCAGTGTTGTTAACTAAGTCAGTATGGCAGCACCATGAAACTGGTTTCTCCAGTACTGAATCTAGTTACTATTCTTTCTTAGAAATACTTTAAAATTCAGGTTTATTGTTTCCAGTTTCTTGTAGGAAAATTTTAAGTTTTTTCTTATATCGGTCTGTTTCTCTGATACTAAGAGTCTTCCTAGTCCCGGATTTGGGCTGTCCTTTACTTTAACTGAGTTACATTATGAGTGATTTTGGTTTTAATCCATTTCCTAGAATGCTAACTATACTGCTTCCTTGGAGAAATAGTAAATAAGCAACTGATGCCTGTCTGTCATTTGTAGGTTGGCATGTTAGTTTTAGCAGCAGCGATATGTAGCCACACCACTTACTTAACTGCCTGTAATGCATGCACTTTGTCACCAAGACAAGCATATCATCACATGTACCATCCAAATGAAGCAAATAATTCTGTGTCTGAGGATCACAATCAAATTATTGTATTCTCACAGTCTATCACAACTGTCCCTATAATCATTTGCATGCCCAAATATTGGTGAGCTGCCAATAAAAACCATTAAGAATTTTAAGAATTGTGGCTATCCAAACAAGAACCTAAGTGAGAAGTCTGCGAGTACTTTAAAAGACATTTGCTTAAAATTCAGATTGGTGCTTTGGAACCTTGGAGTCCCTTAGAAAATATAGCTTCAGATAGAGGAGAGGGGAAGGCCCAAAATTTAAACTCCATTTGTGCTTGACTTGATCTCAGGCTGGACGATTTACAGATCTGCACCCTTGGTGTGACCTCTATGTGTCACTTTTCTTAAATGCGCTACTCTTACAAAACCTGGAAAATGTTACCCAGTGAGTGGTTACAGGAGCTCCCAGCATTCTGTTGAATACCGGATGTGCAGCCAGTAGTAGCTCACCTTTGCTGCCTCTCTTCTGGGCTTTGAATACTGTCCAGGCTTCCTGAGTTAGAGGTGTGAGAGCCACTTTCCATGTTCTCTCGTGTCTGTTCCACAGGGTCAAGGACGACACTGCAGCACACATCGCGTCCCTCAAAGCATCTCATCAGAGGGAAATGGAGAAAATCCTTTGCCAGAATGCACTAGAAAATTCCTCTTCCAAAGTAGCTGAACTGAATCGCAAAATAATCACTCAAGAGGTAGCTGGTCCTTCTTAGATGCTAATAGTGTATTTTAAGACTATTGTTTAGAACATAATTTCATTTAGAAATGTTTTAACTTCAGTTTTGCAGGTTGAGGATACAAATGGAAAATAATTATTGACTTTTTTTATACATATAGAGGGGATACCAGTACCATATTTTTAACATTTTACCTTAAAATTATGCCCTATAAATAAGTATTTATACAGACTTGTCCCTACCTTTGTCAGATCTTCCTCTACATAGGCTGTCACAGATAGCTGAAGTATGTGTCTAGCTGAACTTGCATGTTGACCTACCTCCCTCCACCCCAAGTCCCAGTGACAAGTGGTTATCCTCATGCATTCTTCCTGTTTGTTACCTTTCATCATGGAACAAATGCTCCAGTCAGTGAGGCACTAGAGATAAAGTAATGAACAGAGACACACAGCTCCAGCCCATGGGAATCACAGCCTTCCAACAGCTGTGACAGGGAATGCTGACAGCCAATCAGCAGCTTTCTTCTTGGATAGCAGGTACATCTACTCAGACAATCTGAAAATAGCTACCCTGTGGCTGTTTTCTGTACGATTAGGATGAAAATAGAACTTTTGTTAAAAACGGGAAATGTAAGCAGTGGTGAGTAGGGCTGAGTGTTTATTTTGCCCTTATCCTTCCTGAGGTTTTCATTTTTTCATAAGACAAGCTTAAGGGGAGGCCTTAAGAAATCACTACCATCTCTCCCATCTGTAGCCACTTCCCACCATTATAATTACAAAGGAATCCTTCATTGGGGAATTTTTTTTTTCTTTTTCGAGTAAAAGCTCATGATTTTATTGTATTCATAACAAGATCAGCTTACAACTTGGATCACTTGGCCCTTTCTCTTCTTATCGCCTCCCAGTTCAAAATGCTTGCATCTCTTACTAGCTAGCACCCTCTTAGATCTGTGGTTGGACTCAACACCCTCACATTTCAGCACAATCTTCTTTGTAGTTTTAGCCTTTTTGCAGAAAATAGGCTTAGTCTACCCACCATCGCCACTGTTTCCTGTCATAGGGCTTCTTTTCCTGGGCATACAAAGAATCCTTGCCCTTCTTGTACTGTTTCATTTTGTGGGGTTGGTGCTTGCCACATTTCTTAGGAACATTCACCATGTTGGTGGGAACAATAAAGGCACAGAAAGAAGCAGGAAAATTTAAATAGGGACAGGTTAAGTATTTTAAATCATTGTGAATTATCAGATGTAAAAATGTTGTTGTGACTTTTGAGAAGTGCCCTATTAGGAAGAGGTGCATGTTGAAGCATGTGGGAACTGAAGGGTAAGGAAGTCAGGACAATCCTCATAATGTAGTAAGAAGTGTTTTAAATGCTTTTCTAAAGGATTCTTCAGAATACCACCCAATGTAGCCCTGCAGATCCTCACTGAGTGTCAGAAGGCAGCTGGCATTGCACCAAGTGATTTTCAAGGATAGTCTGGGACAGTGAGCGAACAGTGTTCTTCAAATACCATAGTAACACAGACAATGTGTTTTCCTGCGATGATAAATGTGATAGAGTTGCATGGAAGTCAGTGCTGCCTGCTCATTAGAACAGTGAAGGTGAAATGTCGCAGAGGAGAGAGCCAGGCATTCCACACGTTCTTAGAATGCCTGATGGAAATCTGTCCATGGATTCCAAATTCCTGTGTCTAAAATTATGATGTGACATTTTTAGTTCAGAGATTATGACTAATATCTTTATTTAAAAACCTAGTATCCTTCTTAGTCACAAATTATGAAGATAATACTGTCCACTTCCAAACTTTGAATTTACAGAGATTTTCTTCTAAAGGCTGTTTTCAGTCTTGAGTTGGCTTATATTATCTACATAGTATTCAAGGGGGAGCCTTATTAACCAAAGCCTTCTCCCACCCAAGCACTGACCCTGCTCAGCGTCCAAGCTCAGACAAGATTGGGCACTTTCAGGGATGTGTGGCTGTACACTAACCCTACTTGTCATCTTTCCCTAGGTACTTATAAAACATTTCCAAGGTCAAGTTAATGAGCTGCAGGGTAAACAAGAATCCCTTGCAGTTTCTCAAGTTCGAGAAGAAATCCTACAGAAACAGGTAAAAAGTAACAGAAATATTAGACTAAATAAGTTTTTGTTAGGGATTTCAATTATGTTAATATTTATTATAGAAGTCTGTCCATATACAAAAATCATTAGTAACTTAATGTAAAGTCTGCTTTCTAAAAAGTAATCAGTCTAGAAATCTGTTTTAATGTGACTTATTCAATCAACCTTCATATGTCTTTAACTAGTAAGTCTTGTAGCTTAACTTGTGTATAGTACAGGGTTCCTAAGCATAAATGCTAACAATGTGGCCCCCTCAAGATCCAAAGTCCTTCCCAAAATGGTGGAGACATCAAAGACCTGACGTATACACAGTTGGTGAGAATGGTATTTATGGGATATTGTTTCAGGTTACTGAGGAACGTAGGCAGACTCCAGTCAGACCTGTAGATGCAGTCACAGCTATTCCTGGGTGGGACTTTGGCAGCACCAACCAAGCAACAAAGACAGAGAAGACAAAGGCTCCTAGTGACCCAGAGCCAGCAGAGAGAGGGGATGTCTGTCCCAGCCCCTCTAGTAAACTGTCAGACACAAGCCAACATTTATCTCTCTAGCTAGCAGAAACTAGTGTTCTCATTAGCCACAAAAGCCAAGCTGTCAGAATAGAGAAAAAAGGAGGAAATGTGTCTGTTTGTAAAAACTGTTCACTCCCCAGTCCGTACCCTGGCTTGAACAGCAAGGCTTGTAAGACCCAGGGGGTGCTCGACCTATGTGTCTCTTCCAGCAGATGGCAAAAAAACAATGAAAACAGTGGCCTCTCTGGGAGCCTCAAAGTCCACATGCAACTAAATCTGGAAGAGACAGTTATCAAGAACTGAGTTTTACATTGTTTCCTCCTGATAATCGGAATTTGTAAAGGAGGGGGCAAGAAAAGACTGTGCCTTTCTCTCTCATCTGGGAGCTAGTCATGCGGCTCATGCCTGTAACCCTAGCACTCTGTAGACTGAGGCACGAGTTTGAGGCCAGCCCCGGTGAAGGCCAGAGAGATACAGAGATAGGCAGATGTGGAAGAAATGGTTTTAGTGGGAACTCTGTTATCCTAGCTGCTGCTACTTTCCCTAGGACCCCACCCATAGGTTCCAGGAAGAGTTGAGGTCCCAAAAAGCGCTGAGTCCCTAGAAACTGTCAAAGACAATAATGCTCCTCAGCTCTGTGAATTCTTAGTTGGGACAGGCTCCTGTAACAAATAACAGATTAATTAGATTTGAGAAAAGCAAACCAGTGGATTAACCCTCACAGTGCTCACCAAGCAGGAGAAAACTCAGTAGAAAGTGGCTGTGCAGTGGCTTAGAATTCTGCCTTCAGCAAAGAACACAGTAAGACACAGGGTTCCAAAGGCAGGGAACTGAGGGAAGGAAAAAATGGGAAAAGACTTTTGGAGTGAGATTTGATTTCAGATTCATCTGGTATCTTCTTCTCTGGGCTGATAGGGGAGCCAAACTGTTACTAATAAGACTCCATATCCTGCCTTTAGATAGAAAATGAGGCACAGAAAGCGTGTTCTGTTTGCTGTGTCACAGTTATCAGAGAGGCACACTGACAGTCATGCTGTGTCACCAGCAGCAATATCATTAGACACAGGCTTCTATGGAAAACCACCACTGTTTATTGGCCCAAGGTCCCACTGATTCTAGGAAGACTAAAAAATAATAATAACTATGCATATGCTTTCATTTCAGTATTCAAGATGCACACAGAACCTTGTTAGCCTTAATCACTAAGCTTACAGGCTCTCACAGAATTGAAATAAAGCTTTTAAAACAAACAGAGACAGGAAATAGTATATTTGGGCTAGAGAGATGGCTCAGCCATTAAAGACTAGGCTCACAACCAAATATATAAGGAAATAGTATGTTCATGTTTGCAGGGCCAAAAAAACAAGGTCAATGTTAACCAGGTTATAGTCTTGTTAAAAAGCATACCTGAGACTTGATAATTTATCAAAAAGCATTGTTAATTCAAACATCTAAGAACATCATGCCAGTATATGATGGGGGCCTCTATACTGCATCATCCCATGGCTGCCCAGCCTGAATTCCAGCTCTACTACAACATAGCTAGGACATCTTGGAAAGTGAACTTAAATGCATATGTACCTTTGCTTCCTCAGGTGTAAAATGGGGTGATGATAGAGTCTACATGTACTTGATAGTTTCAGGTCAACTTGATACAAATTGTGGCCATCTGAGAAGAGAGAACCTCAAATGAGACAATATCTCCATAAGATCAAGCTGTAGGCAAGTCTACAGGGCATTTTCTTAACTAGTGATTGACAGGCAAGGGCCCAGTTCATTCCATCCTGGGATGTTTGTCCGGGATTCTATAAGAAAGCAAGCTGTAAATCAGCTGTAGCCCCACAATATATTTTGCTACAGCTTCTCTTATTCACACAGGCAGGAATGCAAACAGTATAGAGGTGCAATCATTTTTGTGTGGATGCATATGATTTTTAAAAGTTTAACTCTTTTTACCTAAGAGTATATTTAAATAGATTTTTTTTTTCTGCCGATGTATAGCTCCATTAGCTGTTTCTTATGCCATTTAACAAAATTGACAATACTAGAAACAAGTATGTATTGTTTGGTCAGAATGAACTATGCTAAGTACATGGATTAATTTATTTGATTCTAATCATAACCAAGGAGTGGGTACTGCTTTTTCCATTATAAAAGTAAAGTTTTTATCAAGAAAATGAAGTAACTTTACCTTTGTTCCCAGCCAGCATAAGAAAGAAATGCTAGCATTGGACCCATCGGTAGCAAAAACATTTAAGTTCTAGAAATACTGAGAACAAAGCAGGGAAAGCCCTGCTCTTGTGGCCCTCTAACATTTTGTGGAATCACAGTAAACAAATATAAATGTAATAAGCTGAGGCTGGGATCTAGAAAGTTTTTAGCACTAACTCACTGTTGTTTGTCCATTGACTTTAAGACTCAAGCCAGTGGCTTCTGCCTTAGGAATCCTGCCACCCACCTCTTAAGAGTTTTTTCCCACCCTACAGACACTTGGCCATGTTAGAATTCTCATATACTTGCTTGCTTCAAAAGACCAGGAATGCGCTACAGGTGTTGCAGAAGGCAGCAATGACTTAGAATGACAAAATCATTTTCCACCCATGAAAAGTTTATAAGAAGCTGCTGATGTAGCTCAGAGGTACAGCATACACCAGTATCCATGGAAACCTGATTCATTCCTCAGGACTCACTCTCAAAAATGAGTTTACAGAAATTGAAATGTTTGATCATTCTGTATATGATTGTAACTCCAACAGCTTTCTGTTCAGTCATCATGCCTGGGTTTTTTCTTTTTTTCTAAATAACGTTTAGTAATCATCATATAGTATATACCATCTTCATACCCAGCAGTTAGGCGCTCCCTAAGTTTTCTGCAAATCACTCCAGCTCCAGACCACATGTTTCTGTGGTGACTGTGATGTCATTAGAATGTTTCTCATTTAATATAGTATTCACCTTTTTTCTTACTAATTTAGGTAAGATTGATTAGTTTTGTTATTATTAGTCAGTGGGTATTTTATATAAAACATGATTGAATTGTTAATTTATCCACCTTCATTTTCTTATTATTGCCTTTAATACAGCAATTAGTGGAACCAGATCTGATATTTTTTACTTTATGAGAGAAAAGTGCAGTTAATTGCTTCACCAGCCCTCATAAGGAAGCCTCTCAAAGCCCCTCCATTTTATTCCTAGTGCTAGAACAATAGCTCCATTTTCTGTGAGGTGAGAAAACAGAGGTGCTGCTGTAACTAAGCCCATGAGGACAAGGACTGTGCCTTTCACCCTCTGCATCCGGGGTCCCAAAAGAGTGTCAACCAAGACAGACACCTCCCCACCTGCCTCTGCTCCGTTCTGTGACAAGCAACTTTATCTGGGGAGCAAAGAACTAAAACTACAAAGGCGAATAGGGTCATGAGAGAATTACAAACCAAATGTCTGCCTTCTTCCCGTGCATTGAACACTGCAGTGCTGCATGGCTGAGCTGTACTTGTAATCCTGAACACAGCCACTAACACCTTGAAGCCGAGGAAAGCGCCCACCTCACTTGAACCCACACAGCCCTGGAAGGAAGGTGGTCCAGACATCTGGAGCCAGTCAGACTGTGAGGTCAGCTCAGCTAGGGTGCCTCTTCACCCCTTGGACACGAGAATGAAAGCTGTTAGTTTCTAGATGAATCCAGGGTGCCACTTGAGAAATTTATACAATTTGAAAATAATCCTTTCCTTGTGATTTTGGCTTTTCCATCATAGATTACAAAGCTCTTGGAAGAATTGAAAGAAGCCAAAGAAAACCACACACCAGAGATGAAACATTTCATGGGCTTAGAAAGGAAGATCAAGCAGATGGAAATGAGGCACAAGCAGAGAGAGCAGGAACTCCAGCAGGTAAGTGGTTAAATCATTAAATAGAAAGCAGGGGTGTGTGTGCGTTACCGCAGCCTTTACTTAAGCACCTTCTGTTGCTGTCACTTTTACATCCCTACCAAACACTTCTTCACATGTTCCCATTGTCTGTCTTTCTGTAGTTTATGTATATGGATACTCTGCCTGTGTGTATGTCTGCACTCCAGAAAAAGACATCGGATCCCATAGGGGCTACAGTTATAGACGATTGTGAGCCGCCACGTGACAGTTATAGACAATTGTGAGCCGCCACGTGGGTGCTGGGAATTGAACTCAGGACCTCTGGAAGAGCAGCCAGTGCTCTTAACCAGAGTCACCTCTCCAGCAACCACTACCATTGACTTTTTAATTCCTTAAGAGTGTAGTTTTGCCAGGCAGTGGTGGTGCACGCCTTTAATCCCAGCACTTGGGAGGCAGAGGCAGGCGGATCTCTGAGTTCGAGACCAGCCTGGTCTACAAGAGCTAGTTCCAGGACAGCCTCCAAAGCCACAGAGAAACTCTGTCTCGAAAAACCAAAAAAAAAAAAAAAAAAAAAAAAAAAGAGTGTAGTTTTGAAGAAAAAACTTAAAATCCCAAATACTTTATATTAATTTTCCTTATATTTTAAAACAGAAAGCATATTGTGTCCTTAAACACTGAGGGTACCTACTAAGTTTTATATTAGTAGGTACCCTGAGAACAATATTCTATATTCAAATCATTTCACATATTTATAAAATTTATATTAGTAAGATGGTCATTGATGTATTGCATATCTACCACTAGAACAGGTTACTGCATTTAAAAGAAAGGATGTGATGTTTTAGGACTGGCTTTACTCTAGAGCAGTCAGCCGGCTCACATGGTCACGACAAGGGTCTCCTGGATTAGACTGTGGTGAAGGCAGGACTCTGGCTGATCTGGTTTCTAATGAGGCTGCCATCCTGGTGTGCAAGCTGCATTCTTGAGGCAAGGAAGCTCTCTGATGTGTGTCTCTTCTTATGAGGACACTAATCCTTTCAGCTCAGGGCCCTATCAATACAACCTAATTTCCTCACTCCAAATATAGCCACACCAAGGGTTAGAGCTACAGCATGTGGTTTGGGGGGTGATGTGACATTCAGTCCATAACAGATAGTGAGAAATGTACATAAACCTTTGAACACACACACACACACACACACACACACACACACACACACAGACACATTAAGCTTTCTGGTTGGTCTGAGTTTCCCACAAGAAGCCCTGGGTATATCTACTCAGTATTGTTCTGCTCTTTAAAACTGTTAAATGTCCCACATTTCCACTATGAATTAGAATAATAGTGTGAAATTTTCATATTTTCAGATAATACAGCAAACACGCCAAGTAGTAGAAACTGAGCAAAACAAGGAAGTTGAGAAGTGGAAGAGACTTGCACAGCTGAAGAATCGGGAGCTGGACAAGTTCCGCACAGAACTGGACTCCATCCTGGACGTCCTGCGGGAGCTGCACCGACAGGGGGTGGTTGTTCCAGTTGCTCTTGCAGATGAAGTGAATACAGCAGAGTTTTAGTCAGAACTTGGATCTGAGCGACCTCGTCGGAAAACATGAAAATGTGCCACTGTCGGGACAGCTTTTGAGAGATAAAGTTCTACCACACAGACATGGGTGAACAGCACCAGAGTAACTTTGTCAGAATAAACTGCCCTGGACCAACAAGGAAAAGAACATACGTCATGGTGTGTTTTACTGAAAACTATTAACTGATCACATTGGAGATGACTGATGAGCAGGGTCTGTAATGTCGCAACTAGCAAGGCTAACTGCAGAAGGGCTCGCTCCCAGACTACGGTGGAAGGGAAGCATCGCTCATCCTCAGCCACGTCTTATAGATGAACTTTTCATTTTCCATATGACAGAAAATCAGCTTTCTCATGAGAAGGGTAAAGGAATGTGAGCCCCTGTGCTGGGGACAGTTTCATCTCATCAGCTGTCACCTGGGCTGCAGAGCCTCTTCAGTAACTTCGATGACAGTTGTAACCTCTGTTCTCTTGGGCTTTTTGGGGCCTGATGGAAAGTGACAGCTAATGGCACAGTTTGGTGTATCCATTACTGTAGGCCAGATCTAGTAAATGACAGTCCTAATTTTTGGCAGCTCTTAAGTTATAAACGATATAAGAAGTTTTACCTTTTCTATTGAAAAAGTAATACTATGTCCATTAGAAAGAATAAAAATATGATAAAAATAGCTCTAGCTTATTTTACAATCCCATTTTTAAAAGCAGATCAGAAATGTGTGGCATAGCGGTAAATCAAAGCTGCGGCCAGTTTGCTTCATATCTCTCCCCGTCCGCCTTGCTGGAGAGCCTGCTGTCCATGGAGACATGACACACGTAGTATCTACACTGGGTGCTCCCAGCCATCCAGGACAGCAGAGGAGTTGCACCGTAAATTTTAATTTTTAGCCACTTTAATGTAAAAAGAAACTGTGAACTAAGTCATTAGATTGCATTTTACATTAATAGCACATTTCGGTTTGGCCTACATTGAAGCTGTATGTGCCAGTAAATGCAATTCTGGGGTAATACTTACAAAGAAGAATGTTTCATAAGGGACGGGCGAGCGAGTCTAGTGATCTCATGATCAAAGGATGTGAAGTATATATAATACCTGTTAAATATGGAAGTGTAATTATTGTCTTAATGCCAGCATTTTGTAATGTGTTTTCTTTCTGAGAGGGGAGTAAAAAAAGTATTTTTTTTTGATTTTTGAGTTATAATACAAATAATTTATTTTATATTTAGGTGTTTTGTGTTTATGGGTATGCATGCCTCTGAATACATAGCTTCCCACCCTACCCCCTGTCCTTTTGACTGATTCTATATATGAGCCATTCAAAGTACAAAGCTGGTTTTAAAACTCAAGAGAAACATGCAGAAAAGGTTGGTGTTGACTAGTAAGCCAAGTCCAAACACATTGTTTCTGTGTGCCCATGGATGCCCTGCCCTATTCACTACTATGTGGTCCCTAAAGTCTATTTCCCTTGTGCTTCATCTCGAGAACAAAAGTGGAGGCATCCTGGCTTTATTGGTGCAACTACATTTAGAGGTTAAGATGGCTTAAGATAGTGAGAGAGTAGTGAAGAGCATAGAACACAAAGTTTTAATAATAGGATGAGGAGCTGCTTGGGAAAGAATGTGACCCTATAATTTGGGATGGCATGGGTGAAGGCTCTGACAGAGCTGGGGATGTGGAGCTGCTAAATTCCAGTGAGATTTTTTTTCCTCTTATGACAGTACAGGGAATCCAATCCACCATAAGTGCCCCTTTTTTGTTTTGAGACAGTTGTGCTGTGTGGGCCAGGCTTAACTCAAACTTGAAATCCTCCTGCCTCAGTCTCCTCAGTGCTAGGACTGCAAGTGTGTATGACCTAAGTGGGCTTCCAGTGAGTGCTTTTTGTTTCTGATTGTGTTGCTGATGGTAGTGTTTTAGTTTTGAGATAGGATCTCATCTGGTCCAGTGCTGGGATTTGAACCCTGTGTGCATGCTAGCCAAGCACTGGGTTTACTGAACTATACATCACATCCCCAGGCTGATGGACTCTATTCAGAAGTGGCAATAGAAGCTTTTCACCACCAGAGGGGATTACCCCACATTGATTGAAACATTAATGGCCTATCCTAAGGCAGGTGTAAAGCAAGACAATGCTGTGTACCTGGGGACGGAGCCACCAACCTTGGTTGCTTTTATACCTATATGTGGACCTAAGTTCCAACAAGCTCCCAAAGGTGAGATATGAACTATAACCCACAAAGACATGTAGGTTTCCAGTTTATACAAGTAGAATCTAAGGGATTGTTGTAAAAATGCTTATGATGGGACATTAAGTTGAATCAGACCAAGCATACTAATACACATCCACAAAGTAAACATTCTAAATAAAGAACGTATCAGATTGGGGATATAACTGTTTCAATAGTGCTTATCTAGTGTGCACAAAGACCTGAGTTCTAATCCCAGCACTGGATTAGGTGAGCTACTGTATTTCAAGGAATTAGAAAGGGCTCCTAATAGTTTGGCTGAAACATGGATCAAAAACGACTGGTAGCAAATTGGAGAAGTTTAGGGATAGAATGTGACCATCTAATTGTCACTTGTATTAATACGCTGCAAGGGTCCAAGAGACCACTGCCAGCCTTCATAGCTTTCTACTATTGGTGGGCTTTCTGCTATTTTAAGTTTTTGGAACAGACAGCTTCTTGTGGGACATTTTTTTTTCCATCCTGATGACTGATGGCCTCTTTTGGAGTAAATCCAAAGGAAGGGACAATGTACATCTTTGCTCTTTACCAGAAAACCTCCTGTCCAAAAGTATTCTTATAATCTCCAGGGTGGTTCAGAAAGTCATGTCTCCATTCGGGGCCTGAGAAACAATTCAGATCCCGTTCTTCTGACCAAAAGCAATTGTTAGCAAGAAAAATATGTATGAATGTGTAAGAACAGTGACGCTTGGCCAGGAGGAAAGAACCTTCTAATGGGCCTCAGCAAAGCCCTTGTTGCCTTCACCTTCCTTCCACATGGTATCTTAATATTATAAGTGGCATTGTGATCCTACTCTGTCCTTAGGCAGGTATAGTCCTTGGCCTATCACTTGCAAAACTGATTATGTTACCAGGGACATGAGATAGGGGCCAGGCACTGATTAGACGCTTGACTAGGTCATCCTGGATGACTTTCAAGCCTAATTTCTGACTAACTTCCTAATAGTTTTATGACTTTTACAAGAGAACCCATTGCAAAAGTGCCACCGAAATAAGTGGCTTCAAGGCAATGACTACTTTGTTATAGTGTTCTATAAAATTAAGTTTACTAAGTTTTCTAAGATTTTTTTTTAACAGCATCTTGCTATGTGATCTAGGGTGGCTTTGAACTCCTGGCATTCCTCCTGTCTCAGCCTCCTAAGTGCTGGAATTATAGGCATGCCATTCTGGATTTAAAATCAAAATGCTCTGGATTTCTCAAACCATTAACCAAGATTCTATTTAGGACAAAATTCTGGGGGTGCTTTTTCTCTTCTAATTATAAAGCAGCCTTTAAATCGTGGCGCTTTTCTGAGGACCAATGAGTGATGCAAATAAGTAGGTTCTCATAATACCACCAGGAGTAATGAGAGTGGTAAGGAAGAACAGAAGCATGACTTTGTCTTTGCTCACCCAAGTGAGCATCATCACCCAGGTGAGAGTGTTAGCTGGCATCACTGAGCATGGTGGGAAGGCCCAGTCTCTCATGCAGTGATGCTAAACCCATGTTGTTGATTCTAGTCAGTCTAAGTAGTTTAAGCTACACAAAAGGCAGCTGTACGTCACTGGGAAAGATATGACCGAAATTTCAGACAGCAGCAGGATTCTAAGAGCTGGAGCACAGTAGTGACTGCTCCCAAAGGAGGGCCAGAACAGGGCTGGAAACACAGTAGCTCAGAGGCAGGAACTACTAGCCAGATGGTATTGATACCACTAAGGACCTGATTGCTCCAAGAGTATGGTGATAACAGGGAATGTCCCTGAGTTACAGCCACACATTGTCATCACAAGCCATTTAGAGTTTGAGTACTTTGGCAAATAATTATCCCCTTATTCCTGAAAGTGCAGCAGCAACAGCAAATACTGAAAAGCTGGAAAAATTGAACAATGAGCTAAACAATTTCAAATATGTTAAGTGCCCTAACATTATGCAGGAAATTGACTCTGGATAAAGCTAAAGTGGAAAAGAAAAAGCAAGGTAAAATTATTCACAAAGAAACAGGATGGTAAATACTAAGTTTATGCCACATTCTCTGATCAAAGGACAAAGAACCATTCCAAAAGTAGAGTTTTAGGCTCAGAATATGTTACAGTCTATTGCTGAATATGCCCTATCTCGTCTGATCTTGGAAGCTCAACATCAGGCTAGGTTAGCTCTTAGGTGAGCAGATATTATAGTCAAGCTACATTGAATCTTAGTGGAATTGTTTCTCCACTAAATTTTGAAATTTTTTGGAACCTGTGACCCATGAACAGAAATTTTATAATCTGTATCTCAGACTTTTCACACCAAGGGACCAAAAATATTTTTCTAGTTCTACAGGTCTGCAGGTAGAAATAACTTTTTACCCAGGACTGACATAGGCTGGGATGGTTAAAAAAAAATGACAATATGCACCTTGGAGTTGATACTGTTATGGACTGAAACTCTAGCATGTTGAGAATTATATTTTAAATGGAGGTGAACTGGCCAAAGAAGACAGGAAATGCTACTGGCTTTCAACACATCCACATCCTCATCTCTGGAAACTGGTCCTGTGTTACTTTTCATGACAAAAGTGACTTTAGCAGACAAGATCAAGAAGGGGGAGACTTGGAGTAAGTTATCCTTGGTGATCCAATGGAAGTAAACCAGATTCCTTGTCAGGAAAGCAGGGTTGCCAGAGACAGATGGTGAAAGATGTCATAGTAACAGGAGATCATAATCCAAAGATTAACCACCTGTAGAAATTGATGAAGGCAAAATGATGGATTCTTCCCAGAGCCTCCTATGTTAGCCACTTTTCCTTGCTGTGCAAAATACATGAAAGAAATTAAAAGAATATTTTGGCTCTTGGTTTCAGAGGCCTCAATCCATGGGTTTGGTTCCATCCTTTCTGGGCACATCTTGACAGCAGGAGTGTATGGTAGAGGAGGATGCTCGCTTCATGGTGACCAGGGAATAGACGGGCCAGCAATAAGACCCAGCTTTCCCAAGTATACTAACAACCAGGTTCTCTACCTCCTAAGTTTCTATGACCTCCATTAGTCCCATTAATCTATGAATGAGCTCATAGCTCTCATGATCCAGTCACCTCCTCCCAAAATCCCACCTCTGGTCATTGCTGTGTTGGGGACCATGAGACCTTGGAGGACATCCCAAATCCAAACCACAGCTTTTCTAGGTGAAACACAACCCTGTTAATACTTTGTTTTTAGCTGTCTGGGGCTGGTTTTAGATTTGTATACTAAGATGGTAAATAAAGAAGTTTGTATTACCTTAAGCCACTGTCCACCCTGATTATAACAGCAGTGGAAAATTAACTCAGCAACCAAAATCTATGTGATTCTCCTGAAATTTGCTTGGCTGATATGAAGTTCTTGGTCTTGCTCAGAAATCCATGAGGTTACAAGAGCCTAATATTGCTAACTTGTAAGAGGTTGTAAAGCCTTGGGCTTTTCATGGTTCTTAACATTTGGTACTTAAAATTATGATGCTATCAGGAACATTCCTCCTACTGTTTAGTACTCCAAGTCCTCATCTGGCTAATCAGCTTCACAATATAATCTCAAATACTTTCAACCATTATTAAGTAGTAGCCCACCAGGTGGTGGTGGCGCATGCCTTTAACTCCAGCACTCCGGAGGCAGAGACAGGTGGCGAATCTCTGAGTTTGAGTACAGCCTGATCTACTGAATGAATTCCAGGAAAGCCTCCAAAAGCTACAGAGAAACCCTGTCTGGAGGGGGAAAAAAGTAATAGCCCATGATTTAATTGAACAAATTGAATAATTAATTGAATAAATTGTTACCACTCTTTCAAGTTAATAAGATCAATCTTGTTATGTTGCTTAAAAATATACATGAAGGTAGCATGTATCTGTAAGGTTTCATTAAAGTGGCTTTAATTATATTATACTAAATCGTCCTTGATTTGTTCTACTTTGTGTTGGTCTCTTCAAGAACTGAACTTCCCTTCAAAGACATTTTGGGAAAGGAATTTACTTGGGTGGAGTCATTCCCAAACTAAGCTCCTGTATGACTGAGTCTAGGACCCCTGAGACAACATTGCCAGCACACACTCTCAGAAACCAAGAGACATTGAAGACATGGGATAGCATTTTAGAGAAATGAAAACTTGCCCGTGTAAAAATCAAACCAGAGGAAGTTCCCGTGCGATAAATGCATTTATTTTGCAACTTAAGCAAGACAAATGGTGGACAAACTCATATACTACGATGCTACCCAGAGATTAGCAGTTGGCCATGCATACAACTCATTGTGTGCAAAACTGAGCTGTTCCCAACATCAGCAAAGTAGGGATGACTCCTTTTCGAAATGAACATCATGTTGCTTACATGAACATTACCCCATCCTCAACATGTTTCGGGGTACACACAACCCACTGACCATCTCAGCTCCAAGCCAAGCAGTCAACACCTACACACCTGCCAAGCAGAGAGACAGCATGGCAAATAGTGTCATTCTGAAGCCCAATAGTTCAGCAGTGTGACCACGGCGATGCAAACACAGAGAAACCCAGAGGGACCCACATCAGCCAGATGACAATCTGCCTTACTGTTTCTTGTTTGTTTTGAGAGCTCAGGTGCTTGTGAGCACTCACTGGAGTCAGAGCTGTCCCAGGTTTAGAGCTCAGATGGATGGAGTTCCTCAAACAAACTGCCTCAGCATGACTCAGCAGAAACACTGTCCCAGTGTGAGAGTCTCCTGGTTATCCTTGTAAAGGTCCCCTAACTAAATATGACTTAGTGAAGGACTGAGTGGAGGGAGAATACCAAGACCTAGAGAGCCTGCAATCAGAGCCAGGCCGCCATGTTCTGCTTTCTACTGTTTATGTATACATTAGCTTATCTTGGATGCTAAGTCTGAAAGTCACAGAATACTAGAGCTGGGATGGGTCGTTTACTCCAGACATGCCACATTACCTTTAAAGCCATGGCAGTCTAGAGAGGGAAAGCAGCTTGTCACAGGCAGAGAATGGTGGCAAATGGCTAGATCAGGATGCAGTGACCTAACCCTCACCTCAGGGGATCGCAATTGCATATGTAGCCAAATTTTTCAATAAGGAAGCTTTAATACTGTAATTGTGTGGTTTTTAATGCAAAAAAAAAATCACTACCACCCACCTCCGGGGGGGGGGGGGGGGGGGGGAGAATGGTGCCTTCCATCTCCAAACTCTATACCTTTATCACTAAGTCCCAGCCCTAGCCTAGGCCTTCAACTTTAAACATTGTTCTCTCTCCCTCCCCTCTACACACACACACACACACACACACACACACACACACACACACACACACATTAAATTAATGTCTGGCTATTCAGAGACAGAACACATCCTCAGGAAAAGGCCCACAGTGCTTCTCAGTCCAGGTCTATACATGAGGTCTGGGAAACTGGCTTATTTTCTAGAAGAACAGCTGGTTCTGAAATCAGAAGATCATCATCCCCAAAGGAGGAATTCTGGTCCGTGTTCACGAAGTTGGGGATGTCAAACTTCATAAACCTGCTCAGCTCCTCCTCAGACCTCCCACTGCTTCTGATGGCTTCCTGGAGCTGGACATCGCTGTCAATCGCTGTTGTTTGGTGGCAGACTTTGACCCTGTCCAAGTGTTCCACCTCATTGATGTAACAGTGGAAGAGAGACCTGGACTCCTCATTGCCCTGACGAGAAAACACCTTATCTGACTCCAGTGGCTTTCCACAGTCTGACACGAAGCTGTTCATTCGGAATCTCTTCTCTGATGACTCTGCATTGCTGTAAAGACAGGAGGAGAGGGCAACACACAGATCCTCAGTCCACTTTCCTGTAAGTTCATGGTTTCCTGCATGGAGGGATGGCCAGGAAATTCCCATGAAGCAACTACTGGGGGTTCCTTAAGTGTATGCAGACCAGCACCAGAAGTGAGATGCATCACTTCTAAACACAGAAGGGCTCCTTGGATCTGGAGTAACAGGTAGTCCTAAGCACCCAGGTTCTCTGGAAGAACAGCCAGTGCTTGCTCTTGGCTGCTGTACCTCTCTCTAACCTGTAACCCAAAGTCCTCAAATGTGCACTTTGTGCACGGCAATGCTGTGTTATAACACTGAACATGACTGCAAGGTTTTCACCACCTACCATGAGGTCCATTCACACTAATAAATAGCTGGACTCCAAGGCAAAATCCTCCTGATGAAAGCCCCTGGATTTTCCCAAGGACAGAGAGGGTGCAGGACTCCCCAGCATCCTGTAAGCACTCCGGGGCTCTCCAGGCATTCTTAGCTCTCCTGAAGTTTTAATCTTTATTTTGTGCTTATGTACATGTGGCATTTATGTGTGTGCTTGTGTGTGTGAATATGTGGACAGATACATTCAGAGAACTGAAGCTGATATTCAGTGTCTTTCATCATCTCTATGCTTTAGTTTTGTTTTCTGTATTGTTTTTGACTTTTATGAAGCAGGGGCTCTCACTGAATCTGCAGCTCACTGAGTCAGCTTAGACTGGCAGCCCAGCAAGAACCAAGGAATCCTCCTTCCTGCCTCCATCTTCCCAGTGCTGGGATTACTGTCACACACAGTTTTTATGTGGGTTCTAGGGATCCAAAATCAGGTCCTCAAACTTGTGTGGCTATCACTTGAGCAAGTAGGCTATCTCCCAGCCTTACATCAAAGTCAGTTTAGGTGCTTCTGAAGAAAGAAAGTCCTGTCTTGCAAACCTTTAGGATCTCTGGAGATAGTCAATAATCCACATTTTCATAGAATCCCCAATGATCATTGCTATAGTGATGTTCAAAATCACAGACCTCTAGTATGCAGCACGGGCCTCTAGCACTTCCTGGTAGGAGCCCTGTCAGTATCTGCCAAGTTGCCTTCTTCCTCTCAGTCCCTCCTGAGTCATCTAGGATCCATCTCTGCAAGAAACCTTTTCCGAATCTTATGACCTGGGGTAGTCGCTCTCCAGTGACAGAGTGCCTCTCCTCATTCATCTTCCTCTGTGTTAGGCCTGTCTCTAACTCTCTGTCACCTCCTTTAGGTTGTAATCTCTCCAGGGCAGGCACTGTATGCTTTCTTGCCCACTACATCCCCAGTTCCAAGAACAGCAGGAGGTATATACCAATTGCTCAGCATGTTTTTTGTTGGCTGAATGAATGAATGAATGTATCAGTTAGGAAGAGATCTGAAATTAAAGCAAATCTTGGCTTGGCAAGATACCTCTTCTACAGATGCTACAGGCTGGAAATAAAGGCATGCTCAACTTCAGGCCTATAACCAGAAGCAGATGAATCTGAAGGGAGAGATGATTGACACTGAGTATAAATTCCAGAGGCAGGGATATGAGAGGGCCAACCATCAATCCCATGGGGGTCTGTCCTCTATCTGTGTTTGACTACAGGTAACCACTTTGACTTTGCTCCCAACATCTGTAGGAGCTGCTCAAGAGTCTGCCATGGGGCTTCCTCCCCAGGATTCTTGGCAAGCACAGACCATCTGTTACTTTGCACCCTCCACACTGGCCAGCCTGGGTGCTTGCACAGGATCAGACTGCACGGTAGTGGTGGGCTACCTTCCAGCTATTTATTAGTGTGAATGGACCTCAAGGTAGGTGGTGAAAACCTTGCAGTCATGTTCAGTGTTATAACACAGCATTGCCGTGCACAAAGTGCACATTTGAGGACTTTGGGTTACAGGTTAGAGAGAGGTACAGCAGCCAAGAGCAAGCACTGGCTGTTCTTCCAGAGAACCTGGGTGTTTAGGACTACCTGTTACTCCAGATCCAAGGGTCTGGCACCCTGTTCTGGCCTCTGTGGGCACCTGCATATATAGGGCATACATATACACACATAAACACAAACAAATTTTAATTAAAAACCGAAAGTTATGGGGCTGGAGAGATGGCTCAGCGGTTAGGAGAACCAACTGCTCTTCCAGAGGTCCTGAGTTCAATTCACAGCAACCACATGGTGGCTTACAACCATCCATTATAAAATCTGGTGCCCTCTTCTGGTGTACAGATATACATGGAAGCAGAATGTTGTATACATAATATATAAATAAAATCTTTAAAAAAACATAGTATTTAAAAAAAAACCTCAAGTTACAAAAAATATGTTTTCAGTAAGTTTATAATCTTGTGGGACATACGCACAGCTATCCTCAGTAACATACAGCCTACAGGTCACAATTGACACTGGCATGATAGAAGGTACCAATCTTGAAAGCAGCTTGGTCATTGTTGAGTCAGACCTGGGATTACTCTTAGGTACTTGATGCAGGGGCTATCAAAAGATGCCCTCTACCAGGCAATGGAGAGCTTGCAGCTGCACCCTGCCTTCAGGATTCAGGAACAAAATACACACATGATCACTGGAGTCATAAAATGTGTGCCTATGATGGCCTGGCTACCACTCCATAGGTATATTCTCTCATGACAGAGGAGGGCTAGATACAACTTTAACTCCCAAACTTGGGACGTCCTAAAGCTCACAACATCTACAAAAGCAGTTAAAAAAGAAGTTTAAAACCAGCCAACTCTTCCATAGCTCTGCTTATCCTGTGAAAATAGAAAATTACAAGACTCAGAACTGGAACCTTGAAAGGGTGGAGTAATGACCGGTACCATCATGAAAAGAGAGCACTCAAAGAGTATTGCCAGAAAATATCCCCAGGAATCCCAGTTCCTCATTTGTGACAGTTCATACCCAGTCTGCACTGTTCTGAAGCCAAGATCTGGCTGGAGTGTTAAAAGTCTTCCCAAAGCATCCTAAGGTATGAGAAATAAAGACTATTTTGCTAGAAACCTGTACCCATTTTCTCATTGTTTTGAGAATGTGCATTATTCATTCATTCATTTATTTAATTTGGTTTTTCAAGACAGGGTTTCTCTGTGTCGCTTTGGAGCCTGTCCTAGAACTCACTCTGTAGACCAGGCTGGCCTCAGACTCACAGAGATCCACCTGCCTCTGCCTCTGAGTGTTGGGATTAAAGGTATGCACCACCAACACCCAGCTGGAATGTGTATTTTTTATTTTTAATTTGGATTTCTATAATCATCTCCAACATCCCATTTCCCTGGCTAGACCCTACTGTTCTAAGCCTTGGCTTCTTCTCACTATATTCTCCAGCCCTCTGGGGTTAATCAGCACCAGCATAGACTGCAACTCCCAGAAGGTCCTGTACAGTTCTCTAACCCATGCCATGACTGTCCTTACTCACCATGTCTCCCTCTCATTCTGCTCACCTACTTTAAACTCCCCACCACCCTCTGCCTGATATTCCAAACCCTGCTCCTCAATACCCTCATCCCTTCCCATGTCCCCTCTCTCTCAGCAGTCCCTCACTCACTCAAAGTATAGCTACAGTGAACCTGATTACCCCTCTTTATCCCTCTGTTTGTAATATCCAGCAGTCCTCTGTCCTGATGTGGTCCCTGCCTCTATGCCAAGACTCAACAGGAAGTCATCTGTCCATCCACCCACCTCCTGCCATTATTTTCTGGTCTCTCACAGGTCATGCTTTTCTGCCTTCTGTGGGAGCCATTTGCCTCTGGTCTTTTTGCACATTGCTAAATATTTGTGTCCTTCAGAGGGCTTTGGAAGACATGGCCTCAATGGATGTTGTATGAAACACAGAACACAAGACTGTATCTCCAGGCTTATCTGAAACCCTGACTACTATGAGACACACAGCCATCTCCAGATTTGTCTTTTTGTGACAGAAACAAAAATAAAGTCTGGAAGATGGACCCCACATACACCTCTCTGCTTCAGAGGACAACACAGGGTATGCCCTGAGTTAGTCCGAAGAATTTCCCGGATTTCCTACAAATGAAATGCTTGCTGCTAACCTGAGTCACCACACATCAATTACCCTCCTCACCTACTCAGGGAAGGACTGGGCTGAGCAGAGTGGTGACACCTGCCATTTCCAGCAGTCACTTCCCTGGGGCTCTTATAAGCCTCTTACAAACTGAGAAACATCTTCCTAAGAATGAAATTCTGTGAGAAAATAACACCACCACTCATGGAGACACAGCCTGCACCCAGAATTTATACACAGTGTAAATTAGTCTGATGGGGTGCCAGGCACAACTCCTGTGGAAGTCTTTCTATGTACACCTTTTGCTGATTAGCAGGGAGATGTCAGGCTGTGTGGGCAGGGAAAAGTCTACCTTTAAAATTCCTGTCAGCATGGCCCTGGACAAGCAGTAACTACCCACTTAGTAAAAGCTCCAAATTGATGGTAAAACAAAGGCAACTTGGTAAATGTTTCTGGGTTGGACCTAACACAGCTTTTCTACCTGTTGACAGTGGTCATAGCATCTTGAGATCCCAGGGTTCCTTAGCAACCACTCACCCTGCCAGCTAGTCTTGGCTTCGGTCAGCACCAATGACTCCCAGCGCTGACATTTTCATGCTTGTTCTTGTTACACACCCCCATCCTGTAGTGAGTGCCATATTCTGCTAAATTACAATTTGAGAGAAAATGACATTGCCCGTTTCATAAGATCATGAGCAAGCCTGTATTCACCCTTAAATAAAAGCTGCCTCTCCCTGGATATGGGCCATTTAGCAAAGGCTACAAAAAGGAGGCCATTTATGGTGGATGTCTGAGGCTTGGATTTTTTTTTTTATGAAGTCCAAAATATCCAACATAAAGATGAATCTGAGACCTCTCTAACCCTAACCCACCTCTCTCTGAAAGATGTGTGCTAATGGGCCATAATGCTCCAAGATAGCACTCAGCCTCACCGCTGATAAGTAGGACAAAATGACTTTTCACTGTCTCGACAACATCCAGGTAAGAGCTTCCCTGCTAACACGAAAAATACTTCATAGGGGAAATTATCACCATCAAAGCTGCTTCTGGGGCCTAAAAGCTTTCAAGAAAGAGGACACCAACTTTATACCAGATCTCTCCCTCCAAGCCTTTGTTTCCCCATGCCCACAGGCACCTGGCTCTCCTCTTTAGACAGGAAGCTCAGCACCATTCCCTGCCAAGGCAGCAGGTGGGCCCAGCTGGCTCTGACCAATGAGAGCCAGCAGAAAATGATGGGCACTACTTCCTAGCTAGAGACAGCCATAATGGAGAAGCCTCTGTCTGTCCTTTGCCAATCTGTCATGTCACTTGAGGAAGAGTCAGCCTCTGCTGTGCTTGATTGACATCCCAGCATCCCACCGGCTCTGATGTCCCATAACCCAGTTAGCCCAATGAGTCCCTTCCAGTGCCACAGCTTTTTTGTTTGTTTTTGATTGTTTTCCAAGACAGGGTTTCTCTGTAGCTTTGGAGCCTCTCCTGGCACTCGCTCTGAGACCAGGCTGGCCTCGAACTCACAGAGATCCACCCGCCTTTGCCTCCCAAGTGCTGGGATTAAAGACGTGAGCCACCACTGCCCGGCCCAGTGCCATGTCTTAACGTGGTCCCAGACTTTGTGAAGAAGTATTTAGACTGTAGCTCTGGGTGGATCCATTACTTCCTGAGAGTGAATAACAGTCCCCCTTCACTTTGATAGAAGTGTGCAGGGTCCCAGTTGAGCCCTGGTCTCTGAGCACAGTTCAGAATGACTCCTTTAGAAAGTAGACTAGACGCTGGGCGTTGGTGGTGCACACCTTTAATCCCAGCACTCGGGAGGTAGAGGCAGGCGGATCTCTCTAAGTTTGAGGCCAGCCTGGTCTCCAGAGTGAGTGCCAGGACAGGCTCCAAAGCTACACAGAGAAATCCTGTCTCGAAAAAAACCAAAAAAAAAAAAACAAACTAGACAGGAATCTCCAGAGAAACCTTCCCCTTTCCCTCTGCCCTTCTCCCTTTCCCTCCCCTCTTTCCTTTCTTCCCAGTCTTTCTCTCTCTCTCTCTCTCTCTCTCTCTCTCTCTCTCTCTCTCTCTCTGTGTGTGTGTGTACAGAAATGCAGAGAAAAGGCCTTAAAGCCCTAAAGCGTTGTGGCTGTTCTCAGTACAATAGTCATTTGGGAAGGGAAAGACAGCATGGTTCACTGCAAAATTTCATTCAAGAATTGTCTCTTTCATACTCTGTCAGCTCCAAAGGCTGTAGACTCAGGGAAGAATTCTTGTTTTGGGTGTCAATGTGATTCTAGAAAGGTGCTCAGCTGAACCCACCCACCTTCCGGAGGGCCATCTGTCCAGCCCTAGCCTAAAGTATGCAGATTCAAGTATTAACTTCATCTAAAAAAAAAATATCTGGACAGAAACACCTAGAGTAGTGTTTGGCCAAATAGCTAGATTTCGTGGCCTAGCTAGGTATATGTACAATGGTTTGCCTGCTTGTATGTACACCACCTGTATGCCTGGTGCCAAATGAAGCCAGAAGAAAGCATCATATCCCCTGAACTAGAGTTACAGATAATTGTGAGCTGCCATGTGGGTGCTGGCAATCAAACCAGGGTCTTTTGGAAGAACAGTCAATGCTCTTAACATCTGATCTATCTTGCCATCTGTTTTTGGTTGGTTGGTTTCTTTGTTTTAACCTTGTCCTTTCTTCCTATTACAAACCACACCATATGTTTTGATTTCCTAGAACAATAATATGAAAAGCAAAGGTGTGGGGGGGGAGGTTGTTTTGTTTTGTTTTTCTTGTTGTTGCTGTTTTTGAGAGAAAGAGGATGAAGAAAAGGAAGAGGGGAAAGATGAGAGAGGGAAAATGAGTATTTCTAGTGGCTTTTATTTTCCCGAATGTCAGCGTATACTTTAAAATAACAGCATTTGCCCTTTTGTATCTAGTTTCTCTAGCTCCTGAAGTCTCAAGCAAACTGAGTGATGGGCTGAACAGTTCCCTTTCACTGGGAATCTTTGTTATAGTTGAAGTATAGAAGTAAGAACCCACAACAGGCAGGAGAGACCAAGCGGTGAGACTCAGGCAGGGGAGTGCTGCTGCCAGGCTCAACTCTGTAGACACACCAGCATTTGCAGCCAATTTCTTCCACAGAAATCCTTCCCAGAAAAGGGAGGGAATGATCTTAACTTCAATATAAAAATCAAATCTGGGATTAGCATGAAGGTGGAAGGGAAGGGCCAAGAAGCCTGATTTGCAGAAGGGACAAAGTTCCATCTCTCCTAGACAGGACCTGGATCTGGGTAGCAATCCATGCCCCGCCCACCTCCCCATCCCTGGTTCCCAGTCTAGTTCTACATGAACCACACATCAGCCCACACTTACTCTTGGTGTGGGGCACCTGTCTTCGTCAGCAAAGTCAGCACAAAAAACATGAAGATCACAAAGACGGCAAGGCCAACCCAGAATCCAATCACAATGGAATCTGCAAGACAGGTAAAGTGAAATTAGTGTTTCCAGGATTTGAATTAGTGTATAGACATTTCAGGGTTTGGAGCTTTCTGGGTGCACAGAATATAACAAGAAGCCAGTCAACCATCACAATAGGGGTGTGAAGACAGGTCACAGGTTTTCCCCGTAGTAATTTTAAAAAGCAGCTCCAGAGAGAAAGACACCATGCAACAGAGTTCAAGTGGAGGGGGTTTTTATTAGGGGGAAAGGATTGTAAAAAAGGGAAAGGGGAGGAGGGAGAACACCTCTATGGATGGAGCAGGAGAGAGGAAAGAGAGGCAGAGAGAGAAGGGGGCAGACAGAGAGTGGGAGAGAAAGAAAGAGGGACGGAAGGTGGGCAGGGCTCCTTTCAAAAGGGAACGCAGTGAACAGGCACGGGTGGTTCTCTTAGTGGCAGCAGTTGAAGGTATATCCTGTCAGAACTCCAAAGGCAGGCCAGTACAGATGCCTGAATATGAACATTCCCAAGCTTCAACCTTCAAACCTGCTGCCCTGGACTAGATTGTTTTTTCAGAGATATTTAAAATGAGTTGACTCTACTCCATCTTATTCATGTTCATGTTGATACAATTCAGGTATTGGTCACTCTTGGAAAGGACATATAGCTGGCATCCTGACCACCACAAATGAATACTGTCTGCTTTCCCTGCCTGGCTCCTTTTGTGCACAAGCAGTTTTATCCCAGCTGAGGCTGAGGCTGGCCAACACTGGCAGGTTGAAAGTGCCTCTCAGAGCACTTTACTCGGTGTCAGTAGCTGAGAAGGTATCCCGCAGGGCTGGCTTTTATCATTACCATGGTCATCCTAGTCTCCTTGACTCCTACTTTAAATCCCATTTGGACTAAGGGACATTGTGTTCTGTTTGCCGAGTTTGCTTTAGCTCCTGGCTACAGCTTCCTCACAGCAACACTTGAACAGAATTTCTCACCATTGTAATCTGGTCAAAGTCTGCCCTGCAGGGCCCACCCTGTGTATTTAGCACTCTGGATTAAAAATGTTGACAAAAATTAATGTCTCCTTCCTAGTATCTTAATTCCAAGTGCTAAAGAACAGCAATTTCTTTAGACCTTGCCTTTTAATACAATGGAAATAAAGCCTAAAGGTAAAGTGGGTGAGGGGAGATGTCTTCAGGATGGTTGGAGAGGGGAGGCACTTGTGGAGAAATGCTGCTGAGTTCTGGTTTGTGTCCCAGAACCCATGAAATCTGGAAGGAGAGAACCAACTCCACAAGTTGTCCTCTACACGAATACCAAGGCACGTGTGTGCACCCACCCGCACATCACACGCACAAACGCTGTAATAAAAAGACATAAAGCAAATCACCAAAAAACCATGTATTCAAGCACAGCTGACTTGAAATTATAAGTCTCAATTATCCGGTTATGTGCTGTGACAAAATGGTGTATGGTTATCTTCAATTCTACCCATGCATTTTAGCACCTGCTTCATAGAAAGAGCAAACCCTAAAACAGGCTTTCTTTTTTTTTTTTTAATTTATTTATTAGTTCTAGTTAGGGAACAAGCTTGTTTCACATGTAAGTCCCTTCTCCCGTAACAGGCTTTCTTTTGGGCTACCAACCAGCTCCCAAATCATGACATGGAGACTTCTTGTTATGACTGCTTTGTCTTATCTTAATTCTTGTTTCAATCTTTTTTTTTTTTATTTACGTTTTGCCTTAGGGCTTTTCACCTTTCATTCTGTATGTTACTTTCCTGTTTCCTCTGCATTTGGCTGGCTGGCGGCTGCCTGGCTTCTGGTCCAGGTGTGTTCCTCTTTTTCTTCCTTGTTCTCTCCTCTCTCTCACTCCTCCAGTCTAGATTTCTCCTCCCACTTATTCTCTCTGCCTGCCAGCTCCACCTATTCCTCTACTCCCTAGCTATTGGCCAGTCAGCTTTTTATTAGACCAATCAGGTGACTTAGGAGGGCAAGGTGAAACAGCAACACATCTTTACATAGTTAAACAAATGTAGCATAAACAAATGGAACACATCTTTACATAGTTAAAGTAATACTCCAAGCATAAACAAGTGGAACACATCTTTGACTAGTTAAAGTAACATTGCCAACACAACCTAAAACGACATGCCAGTGTCATGTTTCAGTCCCAGAATTAGAATGCAATCCCAATATGATATGTGACGTTTCCAAATCTGTTTACTAAGAAGCTCTCTCCTAAGGACAGTGTGGTTAGGGGTCCCTGAGAGCCAGAAAAAGAAAATACTCTTGTGAGCTGAGCAATGTCCTTAACTTGACCATCTCGCTACTGTAACCCCCTCATTACCCAATAAGCCTTCCTAAAGACCTTTAAAGACAAGCAGAGCAGCTGCCCTGAGGTTTTTTACTCTACTAAAATGTTTAAATGAGATGCTGGTCCATCTTGGAGCAGCCCTCTCTTCTACATTGAGGCCATCTTTAGACTCCCACCTTAAGGATTTAAAATGGTCAATAAAATTATGTGTTTGCATATATGAGAGACAGAAAACAAAAGTCATATAAGGACCCATTTTACTGTATTTGTTGCTCTGGGTTTTTGTTGGTAACAAGAGTGTGACCAAGATGGTCATCGTAATTAAAAGCTGCTTTCCCAGGGAAGCCTTGGTACCCAGTTTCTTTGTTCAGAACCCACAACAGCAGCTTCCATAGGGATCAGCGGACTGGTCCACAGCTTGCTTCCACTTTCCTAAGCAGGGAGTGGGCAGAGAAGGAGGAAGGGATGCTGGGAAGGAAGGGAAACTGCTGCCGCCCTCTGTGGCACTCCATGGTACTCCAATCTCTAAAATCCTGAAGTCACCACTGTTTCTGAGGCCACACCTTCACCAGTGGCCTCTCCTGGGCTCTCTTTGGGGTGACTCCAACCCTGTCCCACAGTGCAACCTCGGCCCTTTTACTTGATCACTTGACGCCTTTAAAAACCAGTACCATGTGGGAGACTCACATATTATCAAGTTCAGGTGCCAACTTGGAACTCCCTTGGGCCCTCTGGACCACAGCTTCCATGGGTCGACCCAGAGGAAATACTTCCCAGAAGATTTGTTTTGTTTTTGTTTTTGTTTTTCAAGACAGGGTTTCTGTGTGTAGTTTTGGAGCCTATCCTGGCACTCGCTCTATAGACCACACTGACCTCAAACTCACAGAGATCTGCATGCCTCTGCCCCCTGAATGCTGGGATTAAAGGCATGAGCCACCACCTCCTCCCGGGTTCCCAGAAGATTTTACCCTGAGGAAGCCAGTCTCAATCACAGTTGATTTCTCAGATAGGGCTAAGAAATTTCCTCAGTGAAACATTCATCTATTTCCCCAGTAAAACAATGGTTTTGCTTCTCTAGTCTTAATTCAGATATATCTCACAAACAGCCCAGCAGAGCTTTGTTCCTTCTGAAACTTCCCAGCGCAGACTTGCTTTCATCTGCACTGTGAGCAGAATCACCTTCCCACAACAGTTCACTGAGCTCTGAGCATTCGGTGGCTTTTCAGCCCAAAGCACCAAAATCCTGTCTCATAGTCCTCCCTGCCTCCAAAAAACCAAAACAAAACAAAACAAAAAAACCCCAAACAAAACAAAAACAAAAAACAAAACAAAACAAAAAAACAAAAACAAAACACACAGTCAAGTCAAAAACAGCATTACTCCATTTCCCTGGGGAAGGGAGGGCTAATTTTACCTTACATGGAGTCCATCATCAGGGGAAAGCCAAGGGAGGGAGGTCAGAACCTGGAGGTAAAAACTGATGCAGAAGCCTTAGAGGAGGAACATTGCTTACCAGTTTGCGCAACCAGCTTTCTTCTATTCCTCTAGACCACCTGCTAGGGGTGGAACCACCCACAATGACTAGGCCCCTCCCACATCAATCACTAATCAAGAAAATGCCCTGCAGACTTGCACACAGGCCAAATCTGATAGCAGAGAGTCCTTAATAATTGAAGTTCCCTGTTCTCAGGTGACCCCAGTGTGTGTCAAGTTAACAGACACTAAGTCACACAGATGCCTACCTTCTGACATTAATTGTATCCTAGGACTCAAACACAGGACCCTCCCCCTACCCCCAGTTTCCCAATCACACTCACTCACCAGCCTCTTGGCCTTGAAAGGCATTTAAATGCTGATGACTCTCAGATCTACACCTTCATCCTTCCCCCTTTGTCTCCTTGGATGTCTGGGAGGTGTCTTAATTTCACAGGTGCAAACCTGAGCCCTGATGTTCCTCCCTGACATCTCTCCCTTACACGTCTTTATCCCAGTTAATGTCAATTCCATTCCACCAATTACTCCGGTCACAAAACATCAAAGCAATCTTGCCTGTTCTCTTGAGCCCATGTGAAGCCACTGAACAATCTGGAAAGAGCCCACATTTATGAACATCTGAAAGGCATGCACCTTGGCACATCAAAGGCTATGGAGAGGAGTACCTCACTGGTCTTTGCTCTTAATCTCGATCACCAGTAGAACCTAAAGCAGAGGCTGTTTCTCTGTTTCAAGCCCTTATCTGACTTTTTAGAGAAAAGCCAATATAATAGTCTTAGCCCGATCTCTATGTCCCTCCCCCTGTCCTGCTCTCCTTGACAGTTCTGCACTTGGCTTCTGCTGCTCTGTATGGAGTTCACACCCCTGGCATAAGGGATGATCTCCTTTTTTTTCTAGCATGCTCCAATTCATTCCGGTCATGGAACACTTTCTGGCATGTTCTTCCCTCAGGCATGGCTCAATCTCACAATTCCTTCAGATCTTTCCCTCAGATCTTTCCCTTTCAGCAAGGCCTTCCACGGTGTGCCACAAATCCAAGCTGTGAGAAGTACTTTTGGATTTTCTGCTCACTGCTGTCTCTCCAGCGCTTAACATGATTCCATTCATCGTAGGTGCTCAGGAAACATACTGACATCACAAATGAGTAATTTCTACTCTAAGAAGCAACCATGGTTTTTTTATTTTGTTTTGTTATTTTGTGTAGGCTGAAGAAGTCCATCTGAGGATGCACCTGCTCTTGCCAAATGCGGTACACATAAAGGGAGCTGACTGTAATGACCACTCTCACCTACAATACACCCTTCCTCTGAAAATGATCCGAGGCCATTCTGTTTGCCATACTAGCTTTCTATGTCACACAGTAAGACGGCATGTCAGAAAGGGTTACTGTTTCTTTTAAGTCCAGGAGCTGGAGAGACGGCTCAGCGGCTGAGAGCACACAGTGTTCTTGCAGTACCCATAGGATGGCTCACAATTATCTGTAACCCCAGTCCCAGATGACCTGATGCCTGCTTCTGGTCTCTGCAGGCAATAGGCACACTTGATGTACAGACATGCATGCAGACAAAATATCAATACACATAAAATAAATAAAATAATAAAATGAAAGAATGTACAGATGCTCACATTGCCATGATTGGCATTCCTGGGGTGTCTTACTTTCCTGTATATCAAGGGGGCAGTCGTATCTGTTTATATTCCAGTCTCCTCTCATGTATTGTCGGGTTCCTGTGCCAAGAGCCCTGTACTTGAGTCAGATTTCTTACACTGAGCAGCGAGTGCCTGGACATTTTTGTATTTTCATGATGTTAGTGTTGAAACAAAATCATTCTCATTAATTGTATGCAAGGTACCATAGCTTGGCCTCGGTTTCTGTAGGAAATTCTTTTTTAAAACAATAATCATTTCTATAACAAACAAAAAATTCTCAAAAGAGAGCTGCCTTGGTTGTCTCTGGAAATGTGCCAATGAAAATTATAGCAGCAAGGCTGTCCGTGGAGCCCCTTAGACCATGGAGAAGGGACAGGACCAGACAGGCATTGCACTGATGGAAAGGCTCCCATGACAGGGAACGTGGCACTCCGCCAGTCTCTCCACTTTTCACCAAAATTCATAGCAGACAAGTGTCCTTTCCTAGAGGTTATCCCATTGAAAACAACAGATTAAAGAACTTAGTGGATTTAGGTGATTTCATACTCAGACCCCAAGACCCTTATTCAGATAACTAATGGCAGCATATGCTAAGAGGTTCATGCACTTTCTCGTCATCCCCATAAATACTGAGCAGATGTCAACAAAGGAAGAAGAAAAGCATTTCGTTATTACTGTAAGTGTGAAGGGTATGTGATTTAGTTGATGTCTTTGCTTAAGGAAGAGAAGTAGATTGTCCTCCTGGCAGTGAAGGGGGAATGGGCACTGCTGGTGGGTACATGTATCTCTGCTGCCAAGGAGGGAAGGAGGGAGGGAGGGAGGGAGGGAGGTCCCAATGTACCACTTGGTCTGGATCAGTTAAGAGCCTAAAATGGAGGGCTGTCGAGATGACTCAGCAGTTAAGAGCAAGCACTGTGCTTGCATCAGACCTAGGTTCATTTCCCAGCACCCAGATCAGGTAACTCACAACCACCTGTAACTCCAACTACAGGAACTGACCTCCTCTTTGGCCTTTTAAGGAACTATACACACAAACACACACACACACACACACACACACTAAATAAATAGATACATACATAAATAAATAAAAAACAATAAATCTTAGCAATGAGTCTAAAATGTTTGCAGTATTTATGTATACATTTTGAAACAACTGGGCCAGTTATAGCATGACCCAGAGTGGTTGGCAGTGCTTGCCTATATCAATTTTGCCTTCCAAAATAAGGATGCCTCCTGTAAGTCAGATAGCATTGAGTCTGAGAAGAGAGCAACAGTAACCTTTTACAGAGTTGCATTGCTTTGTGGCAGATCACTAATCACCCCAATTTCCTGAACTGCAACTGATATCTACACCTCCAATGGTATTCGATGGGAGGCTGTTCTCATGGGGCTCTGTGGACACTGCTCTTCAGGGATCCAGAAGTCCAATGGGATCTGTGAAATGTTTTAAAATATTTATTTATTTGTATTTTATGTGTATTGTGTTTAGCCTGCATGTTTACCTGTACCATGTGTGCACAGTGCCCACGAAGGCCAGAAGTGGGCATTATATCCCTTCGAACTGGAGTTACAGATGGTTGTGAGCAGTCTTGTGGGTGATGGGAATAAAACCTGGGCCCTCTGGAAGAGCATCCAGTGCTCTACACTGCTGAGCCATCTCCTCATCCTTCCACTGGGTTTATAAATGAAACTACTGTGCTGGAATTAAAGGTGAGAACCAGAAAGGACACGAACTACATTCACTCGGGAACAAGTGGCTGTACCGAACAAGCAATTCTTAAAGAACCTATATCCAAATGACAGTGTTAAAGAAAGAGCTTCAGGACTTACTTTGGATCCCACAGTTGTGAAGGTTTGGTTCAAGAACCAATGAGCAAAATGTGAGAAACTCAAATGTGACACTCAGCAGAAACAAGTACACCAGCAGTCTACCCCAAGACAGAGAGCAACACCAGCAGTCACCCCAAGACAAAGAGCAACACCAGCAGTCACCCCAAGACCAAGAGCAACACCAGCAGTCACCCCAAGACCAAGAGCAACACCAGCAGTCACCCCAAGACAAAGAGCAACACCAGCAGTCACCCCAAGACCAAGAGCAACACTAGCAGTCACCCCAAGATCAAGAGCAACACCAGCAGTCACCCCAAGACAGAGAGCAACACCAGCAGTCACCCCAAGACAAAGAGCAACACCAGCAGTCACCCCAAGACAAAGAGCAACACCAGCAGATAATGTCAATTACAGCTTTAGGAGTTACTTCGATTCCAATTTCAACAATCACCTCAAGTCCAATGTCAGCCATCACCTGTATTCCAACACCTGCTGTCACCTCGAGTTCAATACCTGCAGTTCCCTCAAGTCCAGCAGCAGCAGTTATGTCAACTCCAAAATCAGCCTTCCCCTGTACTCCAACATCTGCCATCATCTCGAGTTCAACACCACCAGTTCCCTCAAGTCCAACACCAGCCATCACCACTAGTCCCATTTCAGTTCCCTCAAGTCCAACACCAGCTGTCACATCAAGCCCAAAGTCAGCAGTCACTTCAGGTCCAACACCAGCTGTCACCTCTAGTCCTACTCCAGTTACCTGAAGTCCAATACTAGCAGTCACCTCAAGTCCCACTTGAGTTACCTCAAGTCCAACACCAGCTGTCACCTCAAGACAAACACCAGCAGTCACCTCAAGTCCATCATCAGCTGTCACCACAAGTCCATCATCAGCTGTCACCTCAAGCCCAACACCAGCAGTCACCTCAAGTTGTCACCTCAAGTTCAATGCCAGTGGTCACTTCATGGTGGAGTCAATGCCAGTCCATCCCAGAGTAAGGAAAATACACCACCAGAAGGCCCTACCAGCATCCTGCCCGAAGCCCACATTTATACCAACAAAGTGATGCCCTCATTCCAACTCTGCCTGTACCCTGACTTTAGGACTCCAAGTATCCCCCTGAGGGCCATAAGATGGTCCATTTTGGTTGTTGCCAGGACTCTTCCATATACTGGCTCCAGCCCATCTTGAGGGCTTGCAAATGCCTCTAGTACTTCCTGTTAAAGAAGCTAGAAAGAAGGATGACTCATAGTTGACATGTTTTTGGGGTGGGGTGGGTTTGTTGGGTTTTTTTTAATTTTTTTTGAGACTGGATCTTCCTATAGTCTGGTTGGCCTAATACTATGTACACCAAAGATGACCTAGAATTCATGGCTGTCCTGCGACTTCCTATTTCCACAGGTTGGGATACATCCTTTTAGAACTTACTTATTTTATTATTGAATTGACACTAGGGAATTGAAACTAGGCTTCCTATGTGTATCCTAGGATGCCGTCCTCTTGAGTATAAGAGCCTCCTAGAACCACGGGATGAGTAGGATCATCTAACTTGACTTCGAACATGAGACTTCAGTCACTCTAGCCTGTGCCTCCCTGCCAGCTGTATGTAAATCTGCCCCAGCTGCAACCACCTGATCTTATGGTGAAAGGAGTTCCCACAGAATTTAGAGCATTCCATGTACTAGGATATAAGGCTGTCTTCTTTGGTGTTAAATTGAGACTTTCTGGTGTGTCTGTGTGATGGTTTGATCAGGAATGGCCTCCACTGGCTCATATTTGACTGTTTGGTCATTAGAGAGGCACTACTGGGAGGTGTGGCCTTTCAGAGTAGGTGTAAGCTTGTTGGACAAACTGTGTTACAAGAATTGCCATAGTGGGAGTGCCGAGGCCCTGTCCCAAATGACTTGACAGATTTGGATGGAAGGGAGAAGGAAATTGGATCGTTTCTAATTTAAATAAAATGTATAAAATCATTTCTATTTACATAAAATGTATAAAATTGTGTCCAATTTAAATAAAATTTATGAAGAAAAAAATAAATAAATGATACTACTGGCTAGTACAAAAGAAGAATCTTCATGCAATTGCCCTAGATCCTGTTTCTAGACACATTTTTATTGTTGTTGTTCTTGTTGTTACTCAAATACTGAGGCTTTGAGGGAGCTAGAATAGTTAATGTCTTCTTTTAAAAAAATCTCTGTAAGGCTAAAACACTAATCCACATTCTTCCACCAAGGGCCTGTCATTTAAGTCCTTTGAAAATCAGAATTACCAACATCCTTGTATCATACCACCCCAGATCAATGAGACTATGTGAAGGAGTACTGGGTATTTAGAGATACAAGACCATTCTGTAAGAAGATAGGATATTAGGAAAAAGCAGTCACAGGGATTTCACAGGTTAATACAGACATAGGATGGTTACCCCAGGGAGCAGCACAAGACTTACATTTATGAGCCTTCAGTCCTTCAAAGGAAACTGGTCCAATCTCATAGTACTCATATTCCCAGGTGTAATCAGAATTAGATGCTGACTGCAGGGATGTTTTGTTAGACATCAACCTCTGGGCAGACATCTCCATCCTGCACACACGGAGAAAGGAAGTTTGGAACTCATCAGTTCATTCACAGATAGACAGTTCCCCAGTTGATTGTGGATGCATTCAAGAGTTCAGGGTCAAAAGTCCCTAGTTCTTAACCAGTTCTTAACTGGGTCACCAGCTGCCTAGACCTCACACAACCTAGTGACTATTTCCTTTCATTCCCTACTAGTGTAGAGCATATGTGAGAGCAGACTCTGCATTTGTGTGTGTGTGTGTGAACTGTACCAGACGCTTGGCATAGGAACTGTACTGAATGCTTGGCATGCAACCAGTGTGAACTTCTGGGAGGTGGAAGGGGGGAGAGGAAGAAGAGACTATGGCAACACCTCCAAGATTTTTCATCAGCTTCATCACCTAGTCCTGAGTGGACTAAGTAACATCAGTGTCAGAACGGAAGTGACAGCATGTCTGTCTCCAGCACTTATGGATAGCAGGGCAGACATACATCTGTTGCAGATGTTCAGTGGGGAAGTGGGCAACAGCAACTGCACAGTGGGGGAATCCTCAGAGGAGATCACTCGTCACCTTTGTTTATTCCTAAAGTAAGCCATACTTCCAGGATTTGCCTAACACCTTTTTTGTTTGTTTGTTTATTGGGATTAATTTAAATATCTTCTTTGGGAGATGTTAGAATGTATATCTGGGAGGATGGTGAGTGCAGCCTCTGTATAATTACCATGAAGTGTCTAAAGCAAGTGGGATTGCCCTTGAGGGCAGGGACTCAGGAGGAAGAGACCAGGGCCCCACAGACAAACAGATAAACAGAAGCCATTTAGGGGCAGGGGGCGTTTTGGATAAAACACCAATCCAAATCAAGATTCCCTAGGCAATTTCCACCTTCGCATTTCTGTCTATAAAAGAACTTTCTCAAATTTGCCTTTTCTGCCTGCCAGGAGCTCAGAGCCACCCACAGCCAACTTTAGGGTAGAGCCACTGGGATAGCCAAACAAAATCATCACCACCATTCTGCCCTAAGGCATGCATCTCTACTTTCATAGTCCTGCCTCCCTGTGCCTACACCTGAGACTCACAGAGAATTCAATGCAACAATGTCCAAAGCATAAGGTGCTGGGGTCCAGAGATGCCTGCCAGTGTTAGGAATTAAGTCCCTCACTCCCCTATGGGTAGACAGGCAGAAACCGAGATGTCAGCTCTTACATGGGGAAGAAGGCTCCATATACTAAAAGGAAAGCTGAACTTTACCTAAGTTAAGTGTTCATTTACCCATTGCATGTCAGCTCAAAATAATGTAAAGTCATTACATGTGCTGGTTAATCTTACCAACTTGACTGGATTTGGTATCACCATGGAAACGAAACTCTGGGTATATCTGTGATGATGCTTTCAGACAGGCTTAACTGAGGAGGGAAGACAAATCCACGACGTAGGTGATGCCGGGCCATGGGTGGGGTTCCAGACTGAGTAGAAAGGAGACAGAGCCAAGCCCCAGCCTTGATCTGCCTCTGCTTCCTGACAGGGGGAGCAACGTGAGCAACTGCTTCTTTCTCCTGTCACTGTGTCTGTCCCATTTCCATCTTTACCTTATTCTTGTTGGGTGTTTTGTCACAACGCCAAGAAATTTAACTGATGCCAGAAGTTGGTACTGCATTGTGGAGCCTGCCTCTCACCACATTCTCTGGTTGCTTCTACCTCCTCTGCCCACTGTGGCTTTTAGCAGATACCGGCTGCCTTTCGGCTGACTGACTCCAAAGGGGGCCAGACTTTCAGAGGATAATTCTTTCTGATGGAAAATTACCCTTTCCCAATGTTTCCTGTATCAGGAACTGTGTGCTGCCCTGACTGGTCCAGACTCCAGATCACCAGCTCCACAGTCACCAGGCTTATGTCATCATGTATGCTTACAAACAGACATTTCAAACTTCCAAAATTGCCTCCAATAATAACTTATTTTTATAACATGCTTTATGTATTTTTGTGCCTCACAACACAAATTCTGTGTTTTGATTTAATGTAATTTTTTTATTCAAAAAAGTAGTTTTCATGAAATATGACCAACCTGCTTTTTTGCCTTTCTGCATAAGTAATCTATGATTCAAGGCAGATTAACATCACTCTTACAGCTCTTGCTACAAACCTAATTTGGGGGAAGGGAAATCTTTTTTTTAATAGGCTGACAAATTAAGTTGTTACTGCTACTAAGTCTCATGATATTAACAAACAAAATAAATTGAAAAAAATAGTAGAAATAATGTTCCAAGGATGTAACAAGACATTTTTTAAAGGGCTTCTATGAGCTGGAACTAAGCTAAGATGTCTTGAGACAAAGCTCAAGAGAACCTTGACTGACTCAGGCTCCAGCCAGCCAGATCCACAGTTCCCAGTCACCAAGGCAATGATGTATGCTTACAAACAGACATTTCAAATGTCCCATTTGCTCTGAAGATCTGAGTAAGTCACGTGAGGAATGTGAAAGATGAAACAGGGCTGATGTGTTCAATGATGGACAGTTGTTTTGATTTGCTCAAGGTAACAATACTGACTTAAGCGGTTGTATTTAATCAAAAGGACTGCTTGGGAAACTCAGAGATTGGGATGTGTTTAAAACTGATTGGGCTTTATGCCTACGCTATATCTAAATGTCAAAAAGATATTGATTTTTATAAATATTGGCCTTCTCATCCTACTATTTATAACATATATTTTCTATGTTTTCCTATTGGGTAGAACCATGAGCTAGATAGCCACTGACTCAACCACACTCTTTAAACTCCAAGTACCCTTTTCCTCCACCTACCACCTTTACTTCTTTAAAACACACTAGGTTTTAATTATTTTAATTTCACAAAGTCACACATGAAAGTGTTACTTTAAATACAAAGGACAAAACCAAAGGATTTGGATTGGATCTTAGTCGCTAATATGGGAGCACTGACACATACAGGTTTCAGCTGGAGAAAGCAAACCTGAGGAGAAGAACCTACCTCCCCTGAAGCCCTGATCCCTAACAGACTGTAGCAATGACAGGGCAGTGTATACAAGCATCTCTTCTCCCCATCTCTGCAGTCCTTGGCTTTGAGTTAGGTCAGGTTCCTGATGCCTTTAAGCCATGTATTCCCCCTGTGAAATGTTATAAAAGTGAGTAATCCTCTTTGTTCCCAAAGGTGTGGGCCTTCTTGATGGCTCACTCTAGGAACTGGGTGCCTTCCTAGAGACACAAGTGGATGAAGAACTTCTATTTTCTCAGAAATTCAACTCAGAATGTGTCTGTTGAAGCAGCTCTCTCTCACACGTTCCACAGCTTCTGTTATCACTACTTCTTCTCTATTTATAAGCAATGAAAATATGAAAATGTGCATTTTGGCCAGGTAAGGCAAGTGAAGGCAGATAAAACTGTGGGTGGACAGTATGGGTGCATTAGTAAGCAGGCTGCTGCAGCTAAAGAGAAGTCAGACAACATCTGGAATTGGCAGGACATGGTAGCATCATCCACTTGATGGTTTGGAAGGCATGCAAAATATAAGAGTAAGAGTCAAGGAGGCTCACACGCACCAAAGTTCCCGGAACTTTGAGCCAGGCAGTATACAGCAAAGTCAGATTCCTTGCAAAGAGGTCCTTCAGAGCCTATGGTATGAAGCAATGGAGACACCCACACTTACACAATGCTGAGATGCAAGGACTTTAGGATATCTACAGTGTAAAGTTGCAGGCACAAAACTCAGCTGGCCCAAGACACAGGGTGTGTATGCTATAGGCAACAGAGCTGGAGAACTAGAGGTACCCAAGGCTCTTGGAGCTCACCAAATGCCACCAAGAGCTCCAGATGCTGGGCATGGCACTGAAGGTTTTCTAGATTCCTGTCCTTTGGTCTAATCTTTCCTTACTATGTCTCTGTCCCCCCTTTTTAGAGTGGGAATGTTAACTTCACTCCCTTGTATATTGTAAAAAGGTAACTTGGATTTGGTTCTCCTGGAGCTCACAGTTAGAAATTGCCTTGAGTCTCACAAGACACTTTGGTCTTAGCTTCTCAACAATGTTGGAACTTTTAAGACTGGGGTAACTCTTTGAAGATAGATGAACTGATGGGGGATGTCCTTCTGTACATATGTTTTTCTTATTGGTTAATGAATAAAACACAGTTTGGCCAACAGAGGCAGGAAGATAGGCGGGACTAGGAGACGAGGAGAATTCTGGGAAAGGTAGGCAGGGAGAGACTGTGAAGAGATGCCATGTAGAGACCCCGAAGATAGGCTATGCCAGGTATTCTCTGGTAAGATAAGGCCATGTGGAAATATATAGATTAGTAGTTATGGGTCAATAATTAAGACAGAGCTAGCCAATAAGAAGCCCTAGCCATCATCCAACAGTTTTATGATTAATATAGTGTCTGTGTGTTTATTTGGGGATGAAGGGTGATGGGACCTGGCAGGACAAGAAAAACCAGCAACAACGAACAGCTTTTAGGAGGCAAGGTTGTTAGAGGAGCAGTCATGGGGGCCTATGTGTAAGTAAGCTAAGGAGATCTTGGCCCCTCCTCTTCTTTTTACTTTGGGGCCACCATGAGTTGCTCTGCTGTGCACTCCTATTAAGATGTCACGTCTTCTCAGTGGCCCAAAACAATGCACAAAGAAACTGCAGATTGAAACCCTGAGTTCGAACCTTTCACCCTCCTAAGTTGATTGTGACAAAAAGCCACTGCAAAGGTTATGGAATGGGCCTCATCATCTCCTCTTACTTGAGCTACTTTGTCTCATAGCTTGTCAGTTTGGAAATTGTATTTTTTAATAGTCCCTTGAATGCTGTCAGTCTCTTGCACACAGGACATCCCCTATGACATGAAGGCTCTTCACCCCAATCCCCTTCTGCTGTGATCATTTATCATTTATTACAGAAGTAGCAATTAATACTCTATGTACCAACTCCAGAATATTTGTTACTATGAATTTGGCTATATGTAGAATATATACTGGATGACCTATATTCTCAAAAAGACCCCAGAGAAAGGAATTCCTTCTCACCCA